AAGAAAAGAAAGCTAATATCAAAGAATCCACAAACAGCCTTAAGACTAAACCAAAACTCAATATGATTGTTAAAGAAGAAAAATGAGACACAGCTTGTGAAAATATTAACAACTACTTTTAAAGTGGGTGTTCAATATTGAAGTCTGGGTAAATATTTGAACACGATTTACAGTACAATTTTTTTCTCTGTGGTCTCATTCATTGCTTAGTTTTTGTATCTCTGGAAGATTATTCTCCAAGACAATTACTTTCTTCCAGGCTCGTGGTCAAAATTAAATGATTTTGTCATAAATTAGCCTAATGACAAAATGATCGCCTCTCTCCGTAAAACCGATTCTACAGTTATTTGTTTTTCTAGAAACATCATAGAAACATCAAAGGATCCTCTCTTCCCATTTAATTCCTGTATCAATTTATCTCTCTGTAGCAAGGATTTAACGTCTTTGATTTGATTTTAGCTGATCTTGTTTTGTTTAGACAACATGAAAGTATATGTGTTGGTGGCAGTCAATATCGCTAGGTTAAGCTAGAGATGCATACGAAGGGTTTGTTTGTATATTATTTGCCTTCGATCAGAGATAATCAATTTTATCACCCGATGCTTTGGAACATAATAACGTTGATTATAATTGGGCGAGATTGATTAAACTTGGGCTATAGTTTCGATGGTGGTCATCTTCTCCTCTGGTTAAGCAGTTTGATAATAGTTTGATTTCTCGATGCTTATGAAAAAAAATAAATGACTACTTACTTAAGGACTAGGGCGGGGATATCAGATTTTAGATGCATGCTAATTATATTGTAAATTTTTGTTCATGACTAATTACTAAACACACATTGTGAAACATAATATAATTAGTGCCGTGGCATAACATTTGCTGCGTAGCTTCCGTCTATAAAAACAGGGACCAAACTACCCCTCCATGCTAGGGGTTGAACGTGTTCGTATAAGCAACAGGATAATGCTTCTTCGCTTTAGTAAATCCTGATAGCAGGAGTGTTCCATCATTTAAAAAAATTTCGCTGCATAAGGAGAAAGTCAAAAAAGTTACCTTTGTTTATATAAAACATGGTAATGTATCATCATTCCCAGGTTCACAAATTGAATGGCAATGAAAATGAAAACTAGGGAGTCTGTTACGAAACGTCTAAGTTAAATGGTTATTTCCAATAAGTATTGCTGTTTACTGATGACAGTTTTAAAATTAACATAAGATAGTTCTTGTAAGGCAGGATTTTGCCAAAACCTGGGTTGTGTCTAGGCTGTAGGATTATAAATTTATAACATTTGATCATATTCTTGTTGAGGTCTTTCTAATATTGCATCGCCTTACTGGTACCCCAGGGAGTGAGGTATAACAGGGAAAGATATAGTCTATAAATAAAATATACCACCATCGATTTTAAAAGATCTACCCATGACAAAGTAATACTTAGTATTTTGACATTATCAACCAAATGGCTTTGTAGGAAGCAATATATAAAACTATAATAATGGGTTGTTTTTTTTACCAAAAATGAATTTTACCGGTTATATATGGGTCTTCTTTGATCACCAGTAGACATAACAAAAACAATGATCACACGTGGTAACATAACGATTTACACTATTTATAAAGACATCTTTACACATCTGTTTGATGTGCTAAGAAAGGTTAACGATATTTTGACACAATATTTATTAGAAAAATATATTCTCCCATGGAAACAATCATTCTCCCAGCGGACACCTCGAAATCACGATGACGTAATGTTGGTGTATTATCTTTATATTTTCGACCGTATTGCTGTTATGACCTTCTTCAATTATACTCCGGAATTGATATTATTTTGTTCACACACATGGGCGTACTATATGGATCAGGAACCGGGCATTACGTAATCGTAGTCATTTTTAGGCTTTTTTTTCGAAAAACATAAACAACAAGAAGATGAGTAGCGCTTGGGGACCAGTTGCCGACCCAAAAATATTCTCAATAACCGTCGCGGATATTAACGAAATCCACCGTTAGTCGGTTTGGTTGTTCAATTTATGTTCCAAACATTCTGCGTCACACAAACATACCCAGTATTTCATTCCAATAAGTCAATCGAACTTCGAACGTCGGTCGTATTTTGTTTTACTACTAAGCCAAATGTGAGAAAATAATGGAAATGTCATGGTACTGTACTTAACTGTGTTTGTAATCATCAGGATTTTATAAGTAAAGATTATATGTTTTGTTAATCATGCGACCTCAACCAACGAACAGATCTGCCTAATAGAACACAGAGGCGGAAAAGTCCCTTGAGGCGAGAGCATGTCTAAACTGATATCTTAAAAAGTATAACCTATCAAAATCTTATAACATTAAGCCTTATTCTTTACACCAGGAAATGGTCCCCAGGCGCTATTCATCTTGTTGTTCTTCTTCTTGGGAGCAATGCTCCTCGAAAAAAGCCTGATACTCCGATAATTCAAGTACGATCTACATGAAACTTGGCATGCGTGTTCCTTCGACAGTTGCGCATCGATGAACGTCACCATTCAAATATGGCTGTTATGACACCATGCTCGTTTCCTGGTCCATATAGTGCGCTCGCACTTATTATTTGTATGTCTCCAAATAGTTCTTTGGTGGAATGTAATAAATGTACATCCCTCTTAATGTTTATCAATATGGAACGATGGCATTGTCGGTAGAACCCAGGTTTGATTTCTGAAGTCAAGGTGTTGATTCGATTATCCAAACTTGGCGTATATCTGGCATATGCTTTCTAGAACATCTAATGCTCCGTTATCCGTTAGAGTTGATTCTCAATTTAGCTGCCTACGCTTTAAAAGTCTAAAGTAAGAGCGTATTACTATAATATCGAATTCAAACTACAAATAACAATAAAACAATGTAAAATTATAATTGTTAGACGATATAGCTAAATGTAATATTTTAATTACCCGATGATATAGCTAAATGTATTATTGTAATTACACGATGATATAGCTAAATGTAATACTGTAGTTATCTTACTATACAGGTAAATGTAATATTTTAATTACACGACGATATAGCTAAATGTAACATTGTAATTATTACTGTTGTGTAGACGATCGATAAAAATCGTAGATAAAAAAGAATGTTTTAAATCTGTTGATTAGAACAAGCAAAAACTGAACTTCTCTTGGGTCAACCATAGAAAATCAGATGATTTGAATTAAGATGAAGGAGAAGACATTATCACTATATATATAAAATATGTTCTTATGTTCTTACAAAACATCTACATCATCGATTTTACTATCTCGTTTGGTTCTTGACAAATCACTAGCTTTCCCTCAGGCTGTGTTACTATGGAAACGTGTATAAAATATCTTCTCTTGAATATATAGAAAAGCGACGACTGAAATTAGCCTTGTTAAAAAAACGGAAAGGTATAATATGTTGGTAATATCGATTTTATGTCTTGACAGGAAAAGGTATTTCTCTCTAGAATTCAACATCTGATTTCTCGATTGTGTCATTAGTACAATAACCCCCATTCAGGTGGAATTCAGAACTGAGCATCCGTGCTTACTGCTTACACACAGGAGCATGGCGGAAAGTTCGCAGCAAAGGGGGTGGGGGATTTCGTAAAGGCAACCCAAGGCGCTTTAGTAGCGCTAAACAAAACGACCACAGCTCGTGAGTAAGCCAGTTATGGGTATATGAACCGATTTTGATCCCGTTTTCTATCAGCAGAAGCACCCTCTCGGTGATAATGTGGCGTACTTCCCGTGGAAATTTTGCAGTTTTGAATACCATTTTTGCTCTATAAATTGCTTCAATTCTAATTCCTACTGACAACTCATAATTTGCGACTTCGGCAACTTTTGCAAAGCTTGCTAAGAAATCAAATATATAACACCCCCCCCCCACTCAACGAAAACTTTTGTGATTTTAAACCCGTTGGTCTGGTAAATTGTTTGCAGGTTTTTGGGGTTTAATGTTTATAAACAATATTTCATTCGAGAGATTATTTGCAGTTCTATCCTTTTTGGGGAATTTAATGTTTATAAACAATATTTTATTCGGGAGATTGTTTGCAGTTCTATTCTAAGTTATTGCCAGCCCCCCCCCCCCCGCCCCGCCCCGCCCCGCCCCTTAGATAATTTGCAGTTTTAAGCACATTTTGCCCGAAAATGTTTTTTGAATTCTACTTCGCATCGCGTCTCTGCCGTCCCTTTGAAATAATTATCATATCATTCAATTATTATCATGCTGAAAAACAAACCCAATAGAATTTTGGCGCCTTTCGGGAGTGTGTCATCCCACGATCACTGTTTACGTACAATTATTACAAAATTATTGATGACTAAAAATTTGGGTGTCTTATTTAGTCCAATTTAATCACTCTCTTTCCCGGTAAGAAATTATATTTCAATGTGCAATTTAATGGATTTGTTTGAAAGAATTTTAGTATCTGTTCGAAATAAAAATATATTTAATTACTTAAAGGGGAATTACTTAAAGGGAGACAAATCCAATAACATATGTTCTATGCGGGGCAGGTAGGGAGACAGAAATGGGGCTTCACTCTGGGTCATTTCGGGACCAGTATATTACATGTCGCCTAAAAGCGTGATTTAGCAGGGGATGATAAACAGAAAACACACAAGAGCTCGGACAGCTGACAAACTAATTAATTTACTGTTTGAAGACCTGGTGTGGAAGCAGACATCAGCCCGGACTGTAATAGCACGGGGCAGGGTATTTCTACTCTTTCTAGAACACCCAATACCCATAGCATAATATGGTGACTCTAATTCACGGGTGTTGCGTAAACAATTCGCATATTAAAATTCTGCTAAAACTGTCAATATGTAGGCTACTTGACTCCGATAGGAGTGGAGTATGTATTCCCCCAGGCTAGCATTTGAATACACAATGGCACTATCCTAAATTTAATTTTTGACGCAGATGTCTAATACCATGATTTATCTATATAATCTAGATATTTATTTCTTATCACTGACCTACTTACAAGGCTCTATCCTAGTCTGTAATAGGAATCAAGATGAAGGTGTTATTTTTTATACTCGTGACATTAACATATTCTGCTTTACATATGCAGGTAGGCTAATATATTTTATGACGCTGGTATCATTTTCGGCTACAAAGTATTAATACTTATGTTTTTGTGATTCGAAATAAGAATGGGCGTTGTCCTATCGGTAACGCATTTAAAGAAAATGTTGTTGTTTTTTTTTTAAATTTCAGGTGAATGCTATCTCTGGACGCGAGTGTAAACTCCAAGAACAATGTAATGATGGAGAATGTTGTGCTATTCCTCCACTGTATCCCATCATGAGTAAAAGATTGGCACTTCTGCCTACTCCAAAACAAAAAATTGGTAAACAAAAAATCTGTTTAAATGAAAAATAAGCCCACTTAAACCCTTATTTACAGGCGTTATGTACAACTAAATATGATTTTTTGTCATTACAGTATTGGGGGGGGGGGTGTCAAGTAGTTCAGAACACGTGCGATTTAGATCATAAGGTCAATCATTGATTCAAGTGGCGTGGTTTCCACCCAAGCTTGTTGCCATGGCTCACTGGATTCCTCTAGAACTAAAATTATTCATGTTAGTCCCGAAATGAATCGGGTTGTGTTGAGTAGACTTGAAACCCCATCTCTACACCCCCCCCCCTCTCTCTCTCTCTCTCTCTCTCTCTCTCTCATTAGATTATGGATAATACTTTCAGGACACTGCATGACGTATTTACCCGTCAGGTTCCACCTGTGACCCTCATCTCTACCCCTTCACTTTCTCATTCTCTCTCATTAGAGTATGGATATACTTTCAGGACACTGCATGACGTACTTACCAGTAGGTTCCACGTGTGACCCTATCAGCCAATTAAATGGCTTGCACTGTGGATGCGCTAAAGATTTACATTGTAATTTCTACCCAGATAAATTTGGTAAAAGGAAGTTGCTGCCAGGAAAAAGGATCTGTGAGGCCAAGAAAATTTTGAATTAAATAAATACAGTATACAAACCTATCACGATTTGCCGTTAACTGTCACCCGATGTCAAATTATCCATATGATTATAACAGATTGTGACATATTATATGGTAGGGCCGATTTTTAAGCGTGTGAGGTGGCTTCAAATCAAATTTTCTATGTTTATTTATTTTTATGTACAATTAATATACATACGAGTACGTTTCTCGGTTTTTAAAAATTCTATAATACCTGTATTTGTGTTCCGACTATGTGGGCGTCCAACGCGTAGCGGTATCCATCATAGATCGGTATCATACAAACCAAGTTAGTCGGTTTCTTACTCAATAACAAAAGGGAGTGTGGTATTGACTTTGAAAACACTACCCCACAGTTTAAAATACCTAAAGACAATCGTATAAGGCATATTAGTGTGAAATAACTAGAATTATATAATGCAAAACAATTGTCACCATAATGTTCGCATATTACTTGAGGGTTATGATGGTTGGAGCCTGTGAATATGGTAGGGTCGGGGATCAACTAAAGAAGTCAATGTTCTCACATTGTTTGGGGTCCTTTTTAGTGTTGAATTGACGTCGTTTGTATTTTGTGAATTGGTGAGACCGCCTCACACTAAATTTGTGCATAAGCTAGAAACATCAGGATATACTCTAGAAAGGGCCCAATCCGACAGGGGGTGGGGTGGGGGATGTAATGACGTCTCGATAGACACTTGTGGCTTGCCAAATAAGGAGATGTGGCCGATCTACCTACAAAAATAGTTTCAATGTCGCCGGAATTAAAAGTCGAACCGTAGAAGGGGAAGCTACTCCACAATTTCAGATGGATGCAGACCATCATTAATTTCGCCATTGACATCAATGTTAATTCTGGTCGCTTTACATTACAGCCGGGGCAACTTTTGATATACACCAACTTGAAGTAGCATACTAAAAACATGTAACTATCCACCGTACATATCACCGTAACCAATTTAACGGTTATTCTTCCGCCTCTAAACCATGGGGGGGGGGGGGGGGGCTAGCACGTCCGCGCTGTATCATAAGGTCTGTCATCGAGTCAGTTGTACGTGACAAGGAGAAGGGGGCCTGTCCAACCTCGTGGGTTTTCTCCTGGTCCTCCGTCCCCCCACACTGCTAAAGACCCCTACGTGCAAGCGAATTATTGAAATAAAGTTGAATAATATGTTAGTCCCGATTTGACCCAGTTTGTGTCGAGTGGGCGTTAAACCCCATTTCTCTCTCCCTTTTTCTAAACCATGAATATTTACCAATTCAAACCCTCTAGACCAAAGAGAGATAATTCATTGATGATATGCCTCCGTTTGGACTACGACTAGTAAATCTGTCCTCATTGACTTCAATGTCAATTGCATGACATTTCTTGGTCTATAATAATTTGATCTTAATCTTTATAACAACAAAGACCCCAACATGTAACAATCATCAGATACAAATACTGAAGAGGGTTAACCGTGAGAGGGGTCATAATCATTGGTCATACAAAAGGCACAAAAAGGGGGAAAAGAAGGAATAGACGAACTACATTAAGTGGATATAATTAGTAGTCTTAATCTGTTTTGACGCGATGAAGAATTCTAACAAGTTACAATTTTACGAGAACTCTATTGTGTATTGCCACCACAACTTAAATCGGAAACTATCTCCTAGAATTACCATAGAAAATCGATAGGCTCTGTAAACGCTTGTGGTTCCATTTTGCACGGAACATCAACAAATCAAACGAAACATTTCTACCAGTATCCATTGAGAACAAATCCAATCGTTCCAAGTATTTATAAATTACATTGAGAACTATATCCTGCAGTACGTCACAAGCTTTCAAATACAAGAGAACTCCACAGTTTGAAAATAGAAACATTCAGAATTTCTATAGTGTTTCCTTGTGATCCACTGGATAATACTATTTATATGGAGGTCTACCTAATCCTGAATTTATCAATGAACAATCCCTGTAAATCTAAGGTGTGTGAGCGTGGCAAGGAGTGGACGAGCTCATTCGGCGATCGTACGGGTTCATATTAAATAAACATATACAATTTAACCAGTATTCTTCATCATGGAGATATTCGGCAGCTTAAAATGATTCCACAATCTGGCCTTAATCCATGTACAAAGAAAGGAACATCATGTACAAATTAGAATGCCAATCAAATTCTACATCTTCTTTCTATTTTTAATTGTAAGCCAATGAGGAGTAACATTTTGCTATATCTAGATTTGATTCTACACAATTTGTAGGTCTAAATAATTGGCATCTGCATATGAGCTGAATCTGGAAATGGCTGCAGTAAAACACAGGAATGGTTGAACAATTGACATAGCCCATAACATCGTGATCCACTTTCATATTAAAATATGTATTCTTTGACATACCGGATCTTAATTATGATAACCGCCAGGCCAATAGGATCAAATATTCGCATACCCAGGAAGGTTTTGCTGAAAATCATTCATCTAGGGTACTTTATTGCTTATGTGAAATCTCCTGTATGGCATGGTCGGATACCTTCACCATTTTCTTTATTGCGAACCTATAAATCACTTATAATTTATAAGTTTATTCTTTTGCCTTATTTTAGTAAGAGTAAATTAAAACAATAATGTTATTAAAGACAATATTTATTTAAAACGTGTTGACAAATAAATGCAGTATAATATAAGTCATTTATGAAAGAACAACAATGGCAGTATATATTTATTAGGCTTCTATTTATAAGATAATCGTGACTACCTTGCTTTATTTATCGCTATTGTTGAGTAAGGCGACGTTTCAACCGTTGACCTATGTGAATACTTTTACTTGAGGGTTTACATTCCATATCAACAGTCTCATAATTTCAACTTTTGGGGATAAAATGCTTGGAAAGTCACCAAATCTCCATAGTCTTTTTGAAAGGGTTTGTGCATGCGTAGCTCACTTATAATTTAAAGTCTACCGTGGGCTTCTCATTTTTGACAATTCCTTTTCAATATTTGTCTCAATACTTCTTGGTGTTTTCTTGTTAGATTCTGAAAACAGAAAAATAAAACTAGTAAATATGTATAATAAATGTCTTCGTCTTCAGTATGCTACGATGTTACGCACTACATTAAAAAAATGTACTGGAAACATAGACCAGGAGCCCATGTAGCTGAAAAATGTACCAATTTTCCCCTATATGGTATCAATGTATGTATATCTGGTATCATCAGAATGTAAATCTGCCGGGTTTCTGGTGTGGTATTTCACGCCCAAAATGCCATGCCCCCAAACTAGGCTAGATTAGCTCATACGTGTACCAAATGAAAATCGTACAGCAGTGTACCGTACATCTTCAAGTATTACAAAAACACTCTGACAGACATTTCTAGTGGTGGGGTACCCCTGACAGAGCTATGTAATAGCCAGACATTTGTAGTGCTCGAGTATCTCTGACAAGAGTTATCTAATTTTCCAGGCGACAGCTAGGCTAGATTAGCTGAAATCTGTACCACCTGAAACAGCTTTGGAGTTCAGTACCACCACAGGAGTCATGAATGACCACTGCCAGACAGTTTGTGCGGTGGGTTACCCCTAACAAACACGCCCCAAAATGCCACGCCCCCAACTAGGATAGATTAATTTGGAAGGCTTAGCGTCTTACCTCGTTCCCGGAGGTCTTTAATGATATCTTTAGGATCAAATCCATACTGTAATGCTAAACCAACATCTTTCAGCAATCGCTGCTCTAACGCATGTAAAACTTTAAGAAAAAACAAAAACACCTTTTCGTCTAATTGGGAGTTGTTCATCGCTATTAATTTTTCTTGTTAAAACAGTGTTATCCTGTTTCCTATACTACTATCTCCTACTTTAATTTTTAAACAACAAGTCTCACCAGCCCCCCCCCCCCACACACACACACACACACACACACACACGCTCGCTCGCAGCTCCATAATGGAGCACCTGCCTCACACACCCAAATTAACAATGTGACAGCAGAAAAAAAGTTAGAGCACTTTCATGTTTTATAAATTTTGTTATACGTAGCTATGTGCAGTTTATATTTCACATATCTTTATAGCGGCGTGGCGTTTTTCAGATACTGCCTTGCATGTAAATAAACAATAAACTTGCTTACCCTCGTGTCGAAAGCTGTCATATTCTTCTTCGTCTATTTCATGCGAAATATCTCGTGGGACACTTTCTTTAAAGAAAGATTAAACAAGTTTAAATATGATATTTGTAATGACTATACCGTTCAGTGGGGTAGTAGCAAATTGTACACATGAATACTTTATTTAAATTGTCACTCTGCTCGTTTTAGGAGTCATTAGACAATGCGGTATAACTGCACAACAAAACTTAGAACAAACTATACCGGAACATATGCATATACAATCCCAGATAATATACAGACATATAATACAAAGGAATAAAGTGAGAAAAAAAGTTTACGAAAATGTAGTAGGCTACCCAACAGAGGTGTCCACCACAAGCCATGGATGAACCATTACGCAAAATCAGCACAGCTTAGAGATCAATGAATGGGGGGCGGGCAATGAGTTTTTTCCAGTGTTACATGATTCAGTGGTACGGCTGAACCAGGGATCATAGAAAATGAACCCTCAATAAATGACAAAATAATCATATACACACATAATATTTATTACTACTCGCATTATTAGAACATTGAATCTATCCCAATTAAACATAATCCATGACTTTGGGATCAGAAATTCTAGAAAAGGTCATTTCAATTTAACTTAAGAACTGGCATCTTAGTGTTCGTAAAATTAAATATTATATGTGCAGTTGTCACCTCTCTCTACCTTAATCACTATCAACAACTCATTATATTGGTTAGCCTTTTCTGGACAGAAAACAAAACAGAAATGGGAAACGGTCTAACTTTAAGTAAATTGCATAATTGGAATCAAACTATTGCGAACAGAATCTTTGACTTACCAGTTTTAGTAACCTCCTGATTATTTTTGTTTTCGTCTAGGATTCCAATATTCCTTAAAGCATCGAGGATTTTCTGTTGAGTTTTTGAGCCATTACCGTCATTGCTGTCGTCACTTACTGATATGTCTTGAACAACACCCAAATAATCTGCGGTTTTAAAGAATTGTTTTTTAAGTGCTATACAAAACATGTTAATGGCCATAATGGGGATTCCAGCTCAGCTTAATCAAGAGTGCGCTACCAACCTATCCCCTTTGTATCCACCAGTGTTAAATATTAACCACAAAATCAATGTTCCTTTCTAAATTAGTCGCTTTCCAACCCCGATATAGACAAAGTTCTTGGATGTGTGCTTGTCAGTGAAAGGGAAAACCACCATACATAGAAATTCACAAACATTAAAACTCTAATAATTGTGTTTGGTTTCTATCTTTATTTAGTCATGTTCAAAAGATTTTCATTGAATATCATAACACAATACTTAAAACACGTTGGTGCGATCTGAAAATTTCGCTTTGCTCAAAAGTTACAAAGAATATGAACACATACCACACTTTACAATGTTTTTGGCGAGAAAGAAAGTTAATTTACCTCCCACGGAATTCTTTTCTGGTAGACTTTGGGGTTTGCTTTCATCTTCTGTTTTTAATTGTTCCAGGGCTTGAGAAAGTCTCTAAAATATAATGAACATTGTACAAATAAAACTCGTTACATTGATATAATATATCAAAAACGAATATTTGAGCGCAAATATTTACATGGAAACCGGGGTTTTTTAATGGAATTTTTATCATCTAAAGAACATTTTTAAATCCTTATTATTTGTTAATAATGGGGGATATATTTCACCAGTAATACCAATCAAAAGACCAAAGATTCTAACTAAAACGGTCAAGAATTACATGAATCCCTATTTCGTGAGTCTTGGATTTCCTTTCCTTTGTAACGTCCAATACAAGTGTGCTAGATTGAACGACATTTTCGCTATCAAATGTTTCAAGTTTCAACAACCAATCAAATGCCGCGTTATTATGAAATCGAGATTATCCATTGGCCATTGAAACTAAAAGTCACCAAATCCTAAACACCTAAAATTACGCGACTCAAATCCTATTTATTCTGGATATGTTTGCATGTTTTTTTAGAACTCGTGACATCGAGTTTTCATTGCATTAATTTTATCAAAATGTTGACACCATTTTGATTTTAATACATATTATTATATCAAACAATCGGTGAGCAGGTTCTAAAAACGTTTTTCATTCTGAAATTGCCAGATAATCGTATAATTCCGGACCCCTCTCCAACACACACCCATTTTTTGTTTTGTTTTGTTTTTTTGTTGTTGTTGTTCGGGGGGGGGGGGGGTATGTGTAAATTTATGTACAGCTCACCATCAACGTGGCTTGGTCACTGTTTTTCAGCTGTATAATAAGTTTATTAAAGCTATCATCATCTACTGTAGGTTTGCTAGTTGTAGTAGTTGTCCTCGGAATCTTTAAATCAGATTTATGATCATGTACATCTTGAAGCTGAAATATTCAATTTGCCAAAGCCTTATTCACTTACTCCTTGAAATGATTCAAAATTGACTCGCTAACATGAAGATTATTTTGAAACCACAGCGCGTGTAGTTTGACCAAGTTTTAACTTCAAACTTATGTTCGAATTTTGTGTCACGTCACAGCAACTGTTAAAAGTTCGAAGGGTTTTTTCTCCTTTTTCTCTCTTTTTGGCAATTTCTCTTTTTTGTCAATTTCTCCAAGGATATTTAATTGCGAGGCACTCAACTATTTTCCTTGTCATTACGATGTTAGGGCTAACAATATCATGATAAATTAAATGGGGGAGTGGGGGGGGGGGTATTGACATTATACCACTTGAAGGGGTGTTATATCTATGCATCGTGTGACATATTTATTGTATAACATTAGGTGGCAGTGACAGAAGATGTATTTTGCCAGATGACTGTAGCAATTAATCAGTTTTACAAGCATACCATGTTAATTACTGGGTTTAATAGTTTTTAAAACAGGTGAAGACACCGTATCATTAATTCACTTCTTTCAACGCCCAACTTTCTGTTCATCGTTTCAGGGCAACATTGCTCACTAAATACAATATTAAACATGTACAATTACTTCTGTTTGAAATTGATAGTGAAATTATAATTATTTTTAAAACGTTTTGAAACTGAAATTGGTTTAGAGGTAATACAGATTTAAGATATTTTAGGAATTGGTTAAACAGTGACATTGATACTGGTTGGAGCAGATTTTCTTTGGACCCGATTGACCGAATGATATGGACAAATTCATTTATAACATAAAAGATTTACCAACTTATAATATTTTAAAGGTGAATCCTTTATATGAAACATCAGTAGCTAATTGATGTTTTAAAAAGTATACTGAATCAAAAAATCGAAATGTTTACTTACTATGCGTCTTAGCTTCTGAAGCTGAAAAAAAGAAATATCGATCTTTTACGTTCTTAAAGCAAAACCTCTATTTTCACCAAAATAAACGACAGGTAAAATTTAAACCATACAATGTCATGTGTGCTATATCTAATCCATCAGAAAGACACAGAAAATAACAAAGAAAAAAAGTTCCTATTTTAGGTTTTGTTTTATTGATAGCCATATTTACCAAAACATGAGAAATTCTTCAACAGCAATGATAATTTGTCGGGGGTATCATACATGGTCCGCAACAGGACCCTCCGGGGCCAGAGACAAGCAACTGGGCGAGGGGATGGGGCCGCAGGGGTTCCCCCCCCCCCCCAGGCCATTTTCTAAGGTTTTGCAACTGCGGGGACAAGATTTTGAAATTTTGACCTTTTAAATAACCATTCTGAGCTATTTTAAGAAATGAGGTTTAACGTCCACTCGACACGAACTAAGTCATTTCGGGACTACCACATGGTTCAATATTATTTCAATAATTCGCTTGCGCGTAGAGGTCTTTAGCAGTGGGAGGAAACCGGAGGACCCGGAGAAAACCCACGAGGTTGGACAAGCGACAGTACTCCTTGCCACGTACAACCGGCGAATCGAAACCACTCAATGACAGACCTTATTATACAGCGCACACGTGCTAACCATTCGGCCATCCAACCTGTTTATTACAAACAGTATTTTACGAGTACCTAATCTAACCATATCTGGCCTATTTAAATTGTTTACAACAAAAATGACATGAAAGATACCGGAAGTACTTTATTACTTTAAAATTAATTCTCAAGAATTCTTGCTTACCTCAGTTTTTAAATCGTCTGCCTAAAAATAGAAAATAAACACATAATAAGTTTAGAAATCAAACACATATATATTTATTATTCGATTAGTAAGGAAAGGCGTCTTATCGTTCGGGTGGCGTCAAAAACTGCTTGCATACACGTAGAAGAACCCTACATCAGCTATACATCCAATATTTGGGCCCTACGTACAACAAAACGTATAAACTTCATTCTATTGGAACTTAATGTTAAGATCGATAATGAAATTTAATATCACATGATTAGAATTATCAATAGCTAAAGCAGGATGCGGTCATGAGTCAGTTTATAAATAATCACAGATTAAAATCGTGCAAGTGTACGACTCGTAAAATATGAAAATATGCGCCATATTATAAGGTCAAACAATCATCAAGAAATTGGGCATACAATTACCCATCGATAACCTCAAATAGCGCAACAATCGAAAATGTGGTCAATGGTATGGATAACATTGAAAAGGTACATCTATAGATAAAAATCACATATCTTTTGTTTACTGCGTCTATCATCAGATTAAGTACAATGTATAATATTTCATAATTATTGGCAATAACATGGCGTATTTATGGTTTAAATTTCAAAATACCTGATAATTTATTTCAAAATACCTGATAATATATATCAAAATATCTAATAATATATTTCAAAATTTCTGTTATTATATTGTTTCATGGTATGTTTTAAAATACATAGATTCCAAATACATATTTCATGATATGTTTCATGATATTATGTTTCATTTACAATACATGAGATATTTCAAAGTACATGATATATTTCATGATATATTTCAAAATACATGATATTATATTATAATTTATATTTCAACAAAATGCATAAGATGTGTCACGATATTTTTAATAGTCAGTAATAGTATTTGTATTATACACATTGACGCTCTAAAATTCTTTCATAAATGACTTTGATTCTATTTAATTTCGATGTGATTTATAATAAACGGTGCATGATATATTTGATTATTTAAACAAACATCTTCCAAACAATATTATAATTAACTTACATTTCGAGTATGTCGGTTCAAGATTTTATCTGTAAATATACGGTATATAAATTATAGTAAATTAAACAAAAAGGGTTGAGATGTGTTCTTTAGCAACACTGAATTCTAAAAAATAACTTAGGTTGGATGCTATCTTGGCCTCGATGTTTTTAAATAGAAACGAGAAGCGGGTGGAGAAGGATAACATCCTGATATCTTGTTCCTCATGCAAAAGCATGGGGCACCGCGCCCCTGAGATAAGGGGTCAAAGGGTTCAGACTAATAACTGTACATGTAGTTGTGACTTCATGCCTACATATTCAAAACACAAGCTTTGATCTAATACATGTTTGAAATGTGCCGCTTTCTATAGAGCTTGTATCCTTATCCTTAACTCTACTACTATAACCTGAAAAACTCTGGACAGAGTGTCAGCTTCAAGCCAGTAAAGCCTTAATTCTGCAATAAAGCAATAAATGATTATAAGAACAACATTGAAGCCAGGACCAGGTAAGAATCGTATAATGATCACAATATCCATCGATGCTTCATTCAATGTGTTCTGACAAAATTCAAATTTATCAACCCAGTGACAACCCGTAAGCCCGTGTTTATTTAATATGGCACATTAAGTCAATAAACGGTAAAGATATGAACATCTGTAAGGCCTATAGTAAAATTGTGAACTTATGACCTACCTTCATATTCCGATACAGGGATACAGTTTATCAGGGACACCAGACAAACTGTCAGAAAACTTGAAAACCAAATAATGTTCGCCTCCATGTCGAAAAATCAGAAATGATCAATATTGCTCAATACATGTTAGGACGAGATTTCTAGAATATATATATACTAATTACAAGGCGACCCCTCCTTCTCCCTTATCACAGGAAATGACGTTGGAGATTTCCATTGTCAAAATACCTCAATAAAGTATTTGCATTATAAGACGATATTATGTCGAGGTCCTGTTATGTAAATATATTATTAGCCCTACTACAACCATAGAAATCACCATACATTTCACTCGGGCTAATCTAACTGTTTAAATAACAAACATTCGGGATATTTTCGGGGTTATCTAGACGAGTACAAGGTTTTTCTTTGTACCTGATCGGGTCAGGGCAAATAATGGGATGAGATAGACGTGGGCAGGTGAATTAAAGCTATAGAGGGCTCAGCCATATTTCGAATTCTCACGTTTCTCCTATTTGCATGATAATTTTTTATAAATTTCTACTAGGACGTTCTCTTTGGGCGACAACTTTAAAGATTATGGTTTTTTAAACCAAGAACTGACTGCATATACTTCGTAATATTCCCCTTGTTCCCGGGGTGAGGCTCTTAAAAAAACCTAATGCTCCGCCAGTTCGAGAACGATCGTCATGAAATTGAGAAGCAGGGACGTGCCGGCAGGGAGCTTTGGAGGACGGTGTCCTCCCAGGCCCCCATTAAACAATAAGTCCACCCGTATAAGCGGGCCCCCCTGAGAGCTCTAATTTTCACGCGGAATCCCCTCAAAAAATTGAGAGTAAGCACGCGAAAAATCATACATACACAACGATTAGTAAATATATATTATGCTGACGTGCAAAATTTTGCCGACTACAGCTGTTATAGTCAAAATAGCAGCATAAATTTGGAAAATATGATACCTAGATTTCTCCCAGAAATGCTTGCAAAACGCGTTTCCCGTTGTCAAATTTCAAAAATTTTCTGGGGGAGAACCCCCCGAGACCCCCCTACCAGCGTCCCAGCACGCCCCTGTTGAGAAGGGTTGTGCTTTGGAAAATTCGCAATTCCAAGATGGCTGCGTAGACATCATGCTAAGTTCCTAGTTCAAGGGTACGTTCTTAGATATTACACACATGACAAGCTAATAGGCAATCAAGGGTCAAGAAAATTTATATTATCAATTTCATGATTGTGTTTATTATGTTGTATAATAAATCTTTTAATCTACCATACTGGCATACAAACTGCGTTTGCTTGAGTGTGGCGGACAATGACCAGCATAATTATGTCCCTTTTGTCACTATACTGATGGAAATACCCCAGCGACATTTTTAGCTAGGGTCCCCATACAGGCTCAATCTGGTCCTGTAGGCAATAGTGGTCCAATCGGCATTTATTGAAATGCTAAATCTTTGTCACTTGTACGTTATGTTTTACAAATTATGTTAGTTACATAATATAGATCGCAAAAGATACCAGACACCCTCTGTATCCCCATTGTACGCATTCCGTTCTACTCCACTATACCCTGGGTTAATCCATAGGGTTTCAAATTATCTGCCCTCGCCCCGAGTTCACAAAGTATTTTCAGACTTAATGTAAGAATTTACTCAAAATTATTAGCCTTATTTTAACTAAATTATAGCCCTTTAATGTATCAAATACATCAATAAGAAACTATGTGCAAAGTTTTGTTTTTCTGGATCAAAGATAGTTCTCATAAACAGTGATTGAAAGTTGAGTAAATTCTTAACTTGAGTCTGAGACTCCTTTGTGAACTCGGGGCCTGGCCTTGATTGTAGCTATGGTCACAAACCAATCAAAAACAGTTTACAAACCTGTCGTTTCGCCTTCGTTTTTATAAAGGTAGATAACCATATCCATGTCCATTTACTGAATGTTTTATATAAATAATGTATATATTTCTAATTAATTTATATTTAATTGTATTATCAAAATCTGTAGTATGTTTCGTTGATTTCGATTTCAAATATGTATAACATCTTTATGTTTGACGTTTGTTATTATTATTACTATTCGTTCTTTGTCCGAAATGTTTCATTCTGTTATGTTTATTATTATTGAACTTATACTTGGCAATTTGATTCACACTAACTTGTCTACAATATCACGCGGACGTAAAGCTCCGCGAACTAACGAACGAGCGATTCTCAATAAAGCGTATGGTCTTCATTAATATAATATTATATAATTTTTGTTGATAAATACACATTTAGAATAATTTGGACTTCTCTCACATAGGTGAACCCCTAACCTTGTCCGATAAGAGTTACTTCCCTTTGCAAACTGTTTTTTCAATTAATATATGGGATTGTTCGATAAAAATAGCACAATTAAACTAGGGGTTAGTGGAGTAGAACGGAATAAAACCACTGGGGATACAGAGGATGGATACCAGACAGATGTAAGAAATATTTGCAGCCGTTTAACCATTCCAGCCTGCAGACTTGTCAGAATATTTTGTTCGGGATTACTATTATAGAAGTTTTTTGTGCAACTATAATTCTATTATCATTATAACTATAAGAATAACTTACTTTTATCAACTAATCTTATTTGCTTAAAATTTAAAATATAGTGCTTTTCTAAACCAGAATTTAATCAACCTTATACACTGGTACTGGTTCTAATATCACAAGTCCCTATTTATTATTTTTCTGATTTTTTGCTATTTCATTTCCAGATCGTTATTATTTTTGCTTTCATTTTTCAAGAAATTATAGTACATGGTACGTCATATTCCTGAAGCAATGGCGCGCATTCCTCTCTGGCCATTGCTGGATTGACTTATGATATTTGACCTGTTGAGGGAGTGTGTCTATTCTTCCCGTTCAATCAAATCTATCCCAAGTACAGCAACATGACAACCCTTCGTTTAATCTGGGGGTCTTCCCTAAAACTTTGGACAGTGATTTAAAGTATTAAATTTTATGGTATTAAAAACGGTGAAAGTATATTGTTCGTCTCCAAACAGTATTGTTTACATTGTAAGCGTTGATAGCCTCGTTTGTCACGCAATTAGTTTTTCAGCAATATTCTGCTATGCACCGGTTAATCGTGCGTAAATGTGTCATGACGTAACGTTTATGTAAACAATGTTGAGCTCTGTTTAAACCCGAATGACATTGTTACGCAGTTAGGCATTGGTTGTTAATCGGACTATTGACCAGTCATAATTTGGAACAGAAATTTGCTTTCTTTACGGCAGTGCTTGAGTGGGATTAGGTCTAATCAAACGAAACACAGCGAGGAGTATGATGGTACGTGTGTATAAAGGTTTTACAGTCTGTCGTATATCATATGGTGTGTCGTAAACAAATAAAACACGTCCATCAAGTCATGAATGAGTTATTAAAGGACGAAATACTTGGCCACACCTGCGACATTGATTTGAAAAAATACTGAATTGCCAACCCTAAACCATTATGTAAAAATGCATTAACTAGATAAATTTGAAAAACTTAAAATACTGTTTATAAAATATTTTAACTCATTTAAACTTTCGGTTTTTGAACAGACCGTTTCTCTCTTTAAGCAGGAGATTTTCCAGCGTGGTTCCCCCTTGTCAGTGGTGCGGGACGGAGGGCCTGGCAAGGGGTAGCGTATAGTCGTTCGGATGGGACGAAAAACCGAGTCCGCGTTAACACATTGGCGTGCACGTGAAAGAATCCTTGGCAGTTGGAATTCGATATAAGAATAGGCCATTGCGCCGCTGTCTGCGAAAAATAACCCTCATAGCACACTGTATGGCGTATGCAGTCGGAGCAGAACAGTAGGAATTTAAACCCCATTTTAATTAAAGCAGGAGCGTAAGAAGCGTAAGAATGTTTACGACATGTTTAGACTGTTTGATGCTTTAATAGGCTACTTAGGAAGTATAGAGCTTTAATGTTTCTTATAGTCCAACAGTCTATTTTTAAAATCTCCTTGGGGAGGTCCCCGGACTGGCTACTTTGGCGCTCACAATTAAGGGGACTTCGTTGAGGTTCGTAAGTCCGTTCGTTTGACATTTTGTTCTCTGGTCGCATAAACTAGTGATTAGGCGACGGACGGTATCTGGTCAGATTTTATCACGAAGATCGGTGCCTGACTGAACACTGTCAGAAAGCATTTCCCGCAGTCTATTTTTCAAAATATTTTGTGGACGGTCTCCCATTTGGCGCTCGTGATTGGGCTTTGTCGCGGTTCGCAAGTCCGTTAGTTTGACACTTTACCTCAACGATCAGTGCATGAAATACTGCCAAGCTGCATTTCCGGCAGCCTGTTTTTCAAAATTGTCTGGAGGAAACCTCCCTACCTTTAGTTGAAGCTCGTTCCTTTGCCCCCTTAACCTTGGACTTTGTCACAGCTTTGCCCCTCCAACCACCGACGACTGGCGCCGCCACTGCATGGGGACAATGAAGTAATGGAAACTATGATAATCGGGCCGTTGAAATCCAAATATTTTAATGGCCACATAAAATTTTAAATACACAGCTTGCTTCATGCTCGGAATCTGGTATTGACGACTATTTCATTTATATGCCCACTTATTTATTCCTTCTTGCAAATAAGAACTCCTTATTAAATTTTACGTATTTAGGGTATTTCATTTAATTTATATTCATTAGTCTCTTAAAATTCCAGTAAATACTGCTTTATTAAACATACATTATGCAAGAGCTAAATCTGCCTATTGCAGGTCTTTCTTTAGGCCTGAAATGTTATCTAAATCATTAATTGGACATTAATTAACTTATCCAGACCATAATCAATTCTTGATGTTATCGCTAGCCTGTGGTATTTATTGGATTAGGTTCCAATTTGCTGTTCGACTTCCATTCAGAATTTAATCATGAAATGAATAATCGAGACTATGTTTGTTATCCTACCGACTTTAGTAATGATGATCGAGGATAGGGGGAAATTCAATCGTTAAAATCTCGGTCCATAGTGGATCAATTTGACTGAAATTTTCAGCAAATTCCCTTTACAGTATCTAGTTTTTAACTATTAAAGTGAGAACTGCCAGCTCTTTATCTAATCTCCCATAATGTATCTTTAAATATATCACTGCAATAACTTCAGCATATTTCTAACCTTTGCCACTACGGTAAAAGTCTACGTGTAACCAGAACGGTATTTATACATTTCACAATTATAGCCCGTGTATTCCTGGGTAGTTCGACAACAGCAAAACCTTCTATATAAGAAAATTTACTGTTATAACTGATTTTACATTGCTTTAACCGCACAGTCCATAGCACATTTTGTTTGGTGTTGAGGGATTGTTGGTTGTCGTGCAACACAAGACATTCCTGAACCATCAGGTACGCAATTACGTCTGCAGGGCCATTCAATTTCTGCGACACCTATATATTCACACGTGGACGTAGGATCTATAAATGGTCCGAATCCTCCCATAACTCCCATGCCCCCCATACCACCCATGCCCATTAGTGCAAACGGGTCCATCTGGTTAAAGTTTACGGGCTCACTGTGCATAGGGTGAGCTGCATGTACACCACCAGGTAATCTTGGTTGATTAATATTAGGATTAACGCGAGGTGTAGCACGTTGGACCCCTTGCGCACCGTGTGCATGTTGAGTGCCGGAACCAAAAATAGTGTCCAGTAATTGAGCTTCCGAAACAGGTTTGTTTTGTTGTTTTGTCGTAGGGGCTGTGGGTGCTTGCATGGCAACAACTTTTGCAGTTTGGTTTTTTACATGCATTAACTCTAGACGTAGTTTTTCAATTTGTAATTGCTGTTCCAGAAGCTGTTGGTTTTGTGTTAGTTCTGTAAGAACAAGTGGTGAAGTTTTTTCAATCTCAGCAGCCCGTTCTTCGTTCAAGGTTTTTACTGCTTTGTTGATTACCATTCTGTACACTTTCAGTTTCTCTGCCAGAGATACAGTGGGGACTTGCTTGGAAAGTATGACATTTGCAATTTTCAACTTCTGTAGAATTTCTGTTCTTTGAGCGTCATTTAGTGTTTCAAGAGTTAAAGGTTCTTTTTTAGCCACAACAGGCAATGCAAGGGCTTTGTTAATAACTGCGGTAGGCAGTGGAACTTCTTTTACTGGTGCTGCTGTTTGTGCAACTACAGGTTGTGGTGTTTGTGCAACTACGGACTGTGCTTGTTGTGCTGGCATTGTTGGAGCACTTGGGACAATTTGTGCGGTTGGCACCCCTGCTGCAGGTTGTGACTGAGCCATAAGCATTTGAGCCATCATGGCCATTGGAGAAAACCCACTAGCACCACCATTCCCCAATTCATTAGCTTGGCCCATCTCAAGCATTGGACTTGCGAAGGAAGACATGTCAAACATTGGTTGTTCACCCGCCGCTTGAGATGCGGCCTCTGGATTCAAACCATAAAGTGGGCTGGTTGGGTTGCCATTCATGATTTCAGGTGGATATGGGTTATAATATGTGCTAGACTGGGGCTGGTAGTTTGATACAGGATTCGGAAACACAGAAGGATACGCATTTTGGCGTGCTAGGTTTGAAGGATATTGGTTACCTAAATTCAACGCTTGTGGCTGATCGGGTACTGCCATTGGCTGAACTTGTGGTTGTTGCGCGTTGCTAGGAAACAGCACATTCTTTAAAAATGATTCAGCATGTGAGGGAGCTGGGGTTGTAGTTGTTGGTTCAAATAATTTAACTTTCTCCAGTATATTCATAAGTGTTCCGGGCGTGTGTGGCACATTTCCGTGATATCTTCGAGTAACTGAAAGGAATGCTTGAACAAATTCTTTGAGCTTCTGTGGATCATCTGGTGCTGGTCCCATAGTACTAATGACGGGAGCAGGAGTCGTGGCTGCTGGTGTAGTTTGGGTTGTTTTCTTGCTGCTCATCTCTTCCATTTCTATTCTTAATCTTGCTAACTCTTCTAGCTGTGCTCTTTGTGCCTCTAGAAGTTCATGGATATGCTACAATAAAAAAAATAGCCTTACGGTCTTAAAGGGAACAGACAGACTATCACTTGTTTTAATATCTATTTATCTCATTAATTAAAATTTTGCTTTATTAAATTATGATTCAACATTCGGAGAAGAAAACTAAGTGCCTTCTCAAATTGAATACTGTAAACATTACCGGAATATGAACTATGTTGATGAAAATAATCTTACCGAGTGTTGGTTGTTGGTTTGAGTCGTGGCAACCATTTGACTTGATTGGGTCGCGGCTTCCGAAGGTTGCACTATGTTGACAACAGGTGCGGGGGGTAGAGTAGTTAGTTGTAACGTTGTGGTGGGAGATGGAGTAGTGGTAGGAGATAGGGTGGTGGTGGTAGGAGTGACAGTAGCGGTAGGGGCTGCAGTAGTGGTAGGGGCTGATGTGGTGGCAGCGGTGGCAACTGCATCAATCTTAACATCTGCACAGTTTATATATTTTTCTTGGATTCCACAACCAAAGCAACATTTTCTTGGATTTGTATTACAACCCCACATGCTATCTGAAAAGCATATATGTATTGTCTTTTAGGTTACAGAAAAACAAACTTACATAGAACTGTAAATAGATTCGCCACTTCTACTAAAATCAAAGGATGAATTTTTGTTTGTTTTGACTTGCTGACAAATTCAATTTATTTCATTAATAAGATCAGTACTATGATAGTAATATTAGTGACGAAACTAGATGCAACTCAGATTTCAAACCCATCACTTGTGATGAATTGTTCTTTTAGTATCTTCCGCATCTTGTGACCAACCGTCACCAATTTTGAAGAAACCGAACCTGGATAGTAAAATTCTTTCTTTCTAGAATAGTATAAATGGAGCTTATAAACATCAATTTGTGTGTGTCAGGCCTGTTGCACGTTTACAATGACTAGCTGCTTCTGAATGTGGACAGAAAATAATCAGTAGTGCTGATGCTCTTGGATCTCAGCACGGCATCTAACACGATGGACAAATCAATGCTGCTAGATCGTTTGGAAGGAAATATTTGCTATGTTTATTCATTTTTTAACTTTGTTTTAATGATAAATTTATTCCATGTTTAAGCTTTCTAGCGCGCCCAAGAGTATTCATTGGTTGGATTTTGTTGTGCTGTATAAATGAATAAATTATTGTTTAAGTCAATGCGATCGAAATTGTCGGTAAGTTAGGTGATCTGGGCAAACAATGTAATTCAATGCGACCGAAATTGTCGGAAGGTTTGGTTTTTCAATGCGATAGAATTATCGAAAGGTTAGGTAATCTGGGCTGACAATGTGATTCAATGCAACCTAACTTTTTTTCTGGCCATGCCTTGTCACTTTCCCTGATTAACTCTTCGTTACATTCAAACGGGTAATACTGGGTGGGAAATAAAACAGTACCAACTATGCCAAACATATCCACCATCATTACACTTTATAATTCGGTTACGAGCTACTCAAAATGCTTCCATATCTTACCTGTTACATATTTCCATTGTATAACACATCGATCACAGGTTATGTTACTCGGTAATACAAGCTGAAACGTTTTTTTCGTAAAACGACTTGACGGGACGTTTATTCGTGAAGTTCCATTGGCAAGTGTTAACACGTGTTGATTTAAACAGTCTTCGGTAGCTTCAAAAACACCTACCAATTTACATAGTCGAAATACGTAGAAACCTCTTCGACCAATTGTCACATCCACGGTAAAATCCACAGTTTCACCTTGCGTGTATGTTCTACTGATGGTTCTTGTGGCATATTTTCCACCATCTTCGTTTGGTTTTGGTGAACGGTTATAATGATCTCCACATATTCCACATTTGTCTTCATTGGCCTTCAAGGTCTAAATAAAACACACAAACAAGACTTCTTGCATTCAGGTTATACACATTTATAATATATGATGTGATCCATGAATACATAGAATGATTAAAATTCTGAGATCTCAACTTCAAAGTTTTAATAGTGTCGATCATATCCGTACACAAGTTGAGGAGCTTCAGCAACATTTTTAGTTCCCTTGTAACATTTAAAGGCCCAAAGGTGGCAGGGGTCTGGGGACATATTCATCTCTTGCAGGGAAACAAAATTGAGATCTGGCAGTTTATTAGACATTAAAGGGCGCCCGGTTCTATTTTTTTAACCTTGAAATAGACAAATATGGTTCTAAAAACACATAATAATGTAATATGAATTTATGTAAAGTGATTCATTTTCATTTTTTGAAAAAAAAATATTGTAATTTCTTATTAATTATGTTCGGTGAAATACATGAACATGTCAAATTGAACGGCAGTGGTTTACGCCTGCTTAGTGCATTCTACACTTTTTTAAAATTATTATTTTGTCGTTTGTGAATCAGCCTTTACTAATTAATTCCACATTGTGTTGTATATGTTTTTTTTGTTCATTACAAAATGGCACCCGAAACCATAGGGTACACAACTCGTGTACTGATTATATGTTAATTGTGTCTTAAATGTTGGATATTAGGAACCTATAGTTTCACGGCAAGATAATATCACCAATATTGATTGAAATTGGTCAATATTGAATTCTAATTCTAATTTCGAAAATTATGGAAAATATTGAGTTAGAGACTTGGCTCCTTTAAATCATCTTACATCCTAGTATAATATGTACATGTACATGACGTATGATTCTAGAATTTTTTTTTATTTAAATTAAATTAAAGTTTAAAAAATTAAATAAAAACTTACGCTGATGCCACCACAATTCAACCCGTTGTCCTTTGTATTTCTAGGTGTGTTAAATCCATACCGCCACATAGCCGACCTAGACGGGGGTTCAATAAGTTTTGATTGTCCCTGGACATTTTCCACTAACAATAGATGGATCACGAAATAAATTAAGAATGACAATGGTACTTCCATGCCTTCAACAAGAACGTTTGTAAAGTAATATTAAAGACAAGTTACTGTTTGGCGGAGGTAGTAGATATGATATATGAGTCAATTAATTCGACATAGTTGTCTCCTCTTAGGGATGTTTTACACGGTTATGACATAAACCGTTCTGCTTGTTCTATTTCTTTATGTCAAAAAGTCAACAGTACGTCAACATCTTAATTTATGAAAAAGGATTTTCTACGTCGGAAGATCCACCTATGCTTCAGTTTAAAGTGGTAAACCATTAAATTGTGTGACAGTTCATTCCTGTACATTCGAGCGAAATTTTCAGGTCAATTGTTTTTGCAAAGCATTGAAACTCATTGCTTAATAATAACTCTATATTACAAAATTATGACATTAAAAAATATATTCCCATACTGTTAGTTTTGTGGATAACTTGTATACGTGTTTCTGGCATAAAGATCTATTCATAAGTTGTCATGTACAACATGGGCCTCGGGCTATTTGTTGACAAGGAAAAACAAGGATAGTAATTATTCTTGGCTTTGTTTATAAAGGAAGTTTGGACGAGGCTTTTTCTTCTGAATTTCATTCTTGAGATTATCTGTTAAAGTAGCAGACATTAGTTAGTGCATATTGACGTTCATATAGAAACAATTCTCCGAGATTCCAGACAGTTGATAACTAAGTTCGTTTGCTGCGTTGTTGTACAATCAGTTACACTACTCTTTGTTTCTTAATCATTATATTTATCTAATTCGTTACCGTAGTTAAACGGGCTAGATATCATCACAAAATTATCTTCAAGATCAATTTCGTGCTACAGGGTCGGCTGAATTTGCATATTAAGAACATAAACTTTATTTACGGTGTTTTAAAATTCCAGCAGTTATGCTGATGCGATATTTTAATTACAGTTTCACTCGGATTAATTAATAGTCTGTGTCAGCTGCTGACTGCATTGCCCTGTGGTTGCATTATAAACCTTGTTCATTCTCTGAAATGTCTGAAGATTGATGCACTTAGGATCTACTAATATTTTTTTGGGGTGCGCTTAACCGCTTCGCTGTCGTAATTCAGTGAAATCAGACCCTATATTATTTGATATATCTTCACTATAAGGAACGCCCCTGAGGATTAAGTATGCAGGTGTGTATATATGTATACCTTAATGCTATAAACACTGTTTACAATATTATCCTTTTCTTGCCTTCTTGTGGTTCGGCAATGGATCACTAATCATGTGGTGCTGGCTGAGGGAGTTATTCGGGATTTCCAGCCTGGTTTCCACTTCTCAGGAACAGCGTCTAATCTTTCTTGCATTTAAAAGAACCTTTGACAATTGGAATTCCATTACGAATGGGCGGATAAGCGACTGTCTGGGCAAATAATGGTGTTCTACCATTCGAACTAAATCACTACTCGACTATTCGGCGAATATCAAGCAAGAATTCGAAAAGTATTCGAATAGTTGCTATAAAAATACAAGAATATACAACTTAAAATGAATGCGTATTATTTCCCAACTATGATACCATAACCACATACAATTTCAGACATCTTAAAGATGCATTCCCGCGTACAAACCGTATGATTTGATAATATCTTTGGACTAAAAACATATTTAAACTAATTTATCTATGATGTATTTGCTTCAAATCTTTCTCAAAACATTTTGATCGCAAGAAATTACCCCAATCCAAAAAGAAAACCCATTTTACGCAGACTTGTTTGTCACTTGACTTGAATGGGCGATGGTCCTTTGTAACTTGTTTTTGTCGTTACTCGCTGTCTATTTACCATAATTTCTTGGATTATCCTCTCTCAACTTCTTTTCCTGGTGTTTAATCGCAGGACCGTTTGCCAGTTAGCAATATCCTTACATGTTTGTCCTATGTGCACCCCCGTGGATGTTTTCAGGGAATCAAATATTTTCTAAGATTGGTTGTCTCTACTTTCCATAATATATATTAATATATGATTGGGTGTCTCTACTTTCCATAATATATATTAATATATATAAATATTTCTGAGGGAATGCATTTTTAAAGAAATCTTAATTACAAAGTGTAATATTAGTACTGTTCCTGGTTTAGGCGGTTTCTTTTTTCTGGCACAATTAAACCTGTCGATGACAACGCTCCCTCAGATGACCGTTGGCGGCTGGTGGTATCCCCATGGTCCCCAGATAATACGTGTAAGCTAGTTCTTATACTCGTTTTCTAGCGCTGATGATGGGCAAACTGATCAGCACTGAATATTCGCTGAGCCTCTACATCACTAAACTCAGACGGTACAATCAGCTTATCCGATATTATATTAAAATGTAAAAAGTAATTTGTATTGTCTTAGATTAAAGATAAAATGGAGTTAACATGGTTCAAAGTCAATGGCGAGAGAATAAAGTGGTCTTTATCCTGATAAAACGAGGATGTCGTCTTCCGGAACTGCTGAGTACGCATGCTCACCAACGTGGATGGAGAAGAAAACAATTATTTTGACGGATTATATTATCATCACAAGAATATAGGAAATAAAGAGCTAGTTCCTTTCTAGGAATATGATTTAAAACAGACGGTTCAAACTCGGTATGATTCTTTTTTTAATGTATGGGGAATAATGTTGAATTACCCACGAAATTGTGTGAATTAACAGTGACAAAATCATTTCAGTACATCAATTCCATATATAATCATTCATGTTTTTGACACTAGATTCTAGGTCCAGTTTCAAAACTTTTTTGTGTTGATACCATTGACATCACTCTTTTGCACAGAGATTCTTAGCTACGTTGAGATATACTGATGTGCTTGTTTTTAGCTACGATGTCGATTGTGTGCCTTTCGTGGCTTTGCCTACCGGTAATAATAGGTTATTAATCATAATGTAACATCTTAAAAATAAGATAATTTTAAACTTACAGAGGCCAATGTAGTGGCACAACTATCACCTAACCCCAAATATTCAAATTTAATTTAATGAAGCATTAATTGTTTTTATCCAACATACACCGTCAAACATCTCCCATCTAGTAAAAATGGCGTTCAGTTGGCTTAACGAACGCCCCGATTTTAAATACAATGATTTATACCCGTTTCAGGTAGGATTATATGTTTAATTGTAGTTGGATGTGGCAGAAATATTATAAATAACAATAATCAATCGTCGTTTTGATGAAAAATCTTGTCAATTTTGTTTACTGACACAACATGACGTTAAAAAACACTTTTGCAGGCGCCATTGAAATCTAAATATAGGGTAACGCATAGATTTACATAACTCGGCCATATATGACAAAACGAAATTTAGGAAAGCAGGGGGGAAACAATTGGAATCTTTAAAAAATTGAGAATCTTCATTCATTTATTGTTTTGCCTAGCCCAATTACAGTCAATTTTTTTCACAAATTCCAATTTTGATTCACCTGCTTACCTAAATTTTGTTTCATCTTATATGGCCGAGATACATAAATTTGTGTGTTACCCTATATTTGGATTTCAATGGCTTCTGCCAAGCTGTTAGCAGAAGGGGACTAATTTTTAACAGGATGTTGTGTCGCACATACTGACTATTAACAGGATGTTGTGTCGCACATACTGACTATAGCAAGGTAAGCAAGGTCATATTTTCTCACTAAAATGTTCCTTTACATTGTACTGGCGTTCACAGGGACTTACATGCGATGCGACCGTTTAGCAGTAAAAAGTTGCCCAGTAAGATGTACTGGGAACTGAAATTTTTTCGACAAGAAGTCAATAGGCCGGTTCCTGAACATACAGGGCAAGTGTAATGAGACCTACGTTCGGAGATGAACTAAGGATAGATAAGACACCTCAAGTGGCAAACCCCCAACACTAATCACATCGGGATTCAAATAAGCAAAATTGACAATTTTTTCTTCAAAACAAAGATTGATTAATTATTTATAACATTTCTGCTACATAGTAGTGTATCGTCCTAAGGCCTTTGAGCAAATTTTGTAGTCCTTTGGCAGCAAAAATGTTACTGGCCTATAACTCCCTAATTTCCAATTACACTGACCCCAAACTGTACTTTACATAGCTTAACATATAATAAACCAATTCCCATTGAAATAAAGGTGAAACCTTACCACATAATTGTATGGTTTGATTAAACCCAACTGCTATGCAAAATTTCTGTTCATTTTAAAATGGCCGCCAAACCAGAATCACATGATTTCATGTCTCTAGAAAATACAGAAAAACTGTTCGGTAAGATAAGATTAAGATTTCAGTGTTCCACTTTTCACTATTTGTAACATAATTACTTATTTCCATGCAAACTGTGATGATTGTGTTGAAAATTTGCAACTGAACCTAATTTTACTTGCGCACAGCCTTGAATGGTGTATGAATTGTAGTCTAGGATAAGACAGGATGCGAGTACAATATTGTCGCTTTAAGTGAAAGTCAGAAAGATGGTCATTTTTGTTTCCATGCTATCTATCAAAAAGTACATTTTACCTACTGGTCCAGGCCCCCCATCTTATTAGAACCAGTGTGTTATAAGCTTACCTCACATATAACCATAGAAACATCAAGTCATTGATTTACCTACAATTTATTGCCCAATGCTTGAAAAATTGTCACAGAAACTGCAAACATTGCTTTGCCTATAAGCTTACCAGTATAAATTATCATCAAAATTAACTTAAGATGTCTTCAGTTTGTCAATGTCATTGAAAAAATTGGTCGTTCTGCCACTAAACTAATAGTAATAGTTGTAAAAGACAAGGTGTATATTATTTGATTTACAGAGTAAGTAAAGTAGCCAGTTAAAGTTGTACTGACACTGTTGTTATAAATTGTTCTTGAATTTAATAACTGCTAATAGTCTTCTACATGTTTTTATTCTAATTTATTTGTATATTTTTAGGTATGGGGGCTACTAGTAGTAGTTTGAGTGACTTGTCATCTAATGAATATCTACAGAAGCTTGCTGGCACTGAAGCCATAGATAAAATCGATCCTTTCTGGAACCAGCTACTTTCATTCTCATTCCTGATACCAATTAACACGTAAGTAAATTAAACATACATTATGCAAGAGCTAAATCTTCCTATTGCGCAGGTCTTTCTTTAGTAATGATGATCGAGGCTGTTCCCAAAATTCAATCACTAAATTCTCGGTTCAGAGTGGATCAATTTGACTGAAATTTTCAGCAAATTCCCTTTACATTATCTAGTTTTTAACTATGATAGTGAGAACTGCTAGCTCTTTATCTAATCTCCCAAAATGTATCTAGTAACATGGACAGAGTAACTAGTATAAGCACCCTTATCTACAGATATTATGTAACCTTTTTTAGAAATCATTTGCTAACATTATCTTTTGCATTGTGGAAATACAAAACAGAAACATTTGCTTCTGTTTTTGGAAGCCTAAAATCACCAGGTCAGTGCTAGACATAGTATTGCATTTAACTTTTTGGTTGTCAAGATTGCATTATATATTTTATGTTCAACTTTTCAGGTCTGATTCTCGTATTTTAGAAGAAGCGACATCTCAGATCAGTCGTAACTTTGCTATCAATAACTGTCATACTGGTAATTTTGCAGCACTAGTTCACAACTTTTTAATTCGAGCCACAGAGCTGAAAGCTTCAGCACAATGTGAGGAGTAAGTACAACTGCCAATGTATTTCTTGAAAGATAATTTTGTGTTATTAATGGGTTGATTGCCTAGTACTATTGGGAAATATGTAGGTTTGAGACTATGTGATAAACAGTATCATTAGTTTTATCAATTTAAACAGGGTTCCAGGTCAAACTGCACTAACAGTATTGAAAAATCTTGAGGAGCTTGACATACGTATGCATTGATTCTTGGTGCTTTGAAACATGCCAGCTTTTTTTTTTTTTTTTTTTTTTCCGAGGGGGTTGGATCGCTGAATGGTTAGCGTTTGCGCGCTGTATCATAAAGTCTGCCATTGAGTCGACTGGCGTGGTTTCGAATCCCCGGTTGTACGTGGCATGGAGTAGGGTCGCCTGTCAAACCTCGTGGGTTTTCTCCGGGTCCTCCGGTTTCCTCCCACTGCTAAAGACCCCTACGCGCAAGCGAATTATTGAAATAAAATTAAACCATATGTTGGTCCCGAAATGACCTAGTTTGTGTCGAGTGGACGTTAAACCCCATTTCTCTCTCTCTCGCTTTTTTTTTTTGAACAAATATTATCGTCTCATGAATAGTACCAAATAATTCACTATTTGTCCATTATTAGATATGCTAAATTTCCCATATCCAAAATGTTGATTTTAAAAGACCGTCCAGATACATTTGTAATTGGTTCTGCAGACATGTTTATATGTACATGTATTCCCTAGAATTATATAGATGCAAGACTTTGTGTAAAATGGAGTCATTCAGCTTTATACAATTTAATCATGATTTGTACAATGTATTTTGTAAATCTGCACATGACATTTTCCCACAAAAAGATCACTTTCAGGACAGTCCTTCAAGTTTAAGATGTGCTTTCGCTCCTGCTTCTCTCGACGCACCTCGACTTTCAATCACGGAAGTCATTAAAGACTTCTGCAAATTAGCTAAATTGCTCTCCTAAATATTGAGATTAATAAACTACTTTCATTTTTTGTTTATTTTTAAACTGTATACATTCGAGCTATATAAGTTTCAATGATGATAATTTTGACACAACCATATTCATCAAACATATTCACCAAATACTAAACAAGACTAAAGCATAAATACAATTTGGCTCTCCTTAATTCAAGAAATTGTAGAATTACTCATGCAATATAATTAAGTTTTCTTACAGGGGCTTTTTTCTCATTTTTTAAATTTGCAGGAGCTTTTTATGGCTCCCACACAATTTTATAAATGTGATGGGCTGTATTTACTTCTTTAATATGGAATTTCTACATTTCCTGGCTTACTTAGCTTTGAATCTTTACAGAACAGAATATAAAAAGAAGATTCTTTCTGCTTTCTTTTGTCAAGAATGTGTATTCAACATCGGTAAAAAGTAATGATGCTATCAATTTTGATATTTTTATTTACTGGTATTAGATATTGAAGACAGTTTTCACAAACAATTGTCGGAAATAATATTTTCTCTTTTTAATCTTTTTTTTAGCAACATCTTTATCTGGCAGACTTATAATGCATTGTTTATTATTCGAAGCTTATGTAAATATTTTGTGGAACATCTGAGTGAGGAATTACTATTACAACAGTTTGATTGTAGGGCTAATCCTGCTGGTAAGTATATTGTTATCTGATATGAATCTGACCCTAAAAACTGTATGAGATAAATATTGTACCTACACACATGTAGTTTTTCCGCAATGTTTTAAATATAGATTAAATATCTGTAATATTATTCTGGCATTAATGATATGTTCCGTTGAGGTTACTTGGGTCATTTAGATTATCTTGAATAATTATTAAATTTTTTAAATGAAACATGTTATTTCTTATGGCCTAGAAAAAAATTTCAGGCATCTATTGATTAGTTAGCTAAGCAGATAAGTCAATTTGATAAGTCAATGCTTTAGGATATGATAATTTTGATTTCAAATCTAGGACTATTGATGGAACTTGGTATATAGTTTCACTTCTTGAAAACCATGACTAAGTCCAATCATGAAACTTACTTGATGTATAATTTCACTACTTTAAAATCTTGACTAGATCTGATCGCGCACATTTTCTGAGTAGGCTATGTATATACAAGCAGTTTGATTTCTAGATGCTTTAGAAAAAGATGAATGTGCAATTAATTAATATCTGTGATCTATTTTTTCTGCGATTGAGGTGGCTGACATCAGCATCACTGTTGGCTTGTTTTGTTTCAAATAGTTCATCAGTAATAATCAGATAAGTGAAATCCTTGATGGATCCTTAGAATTTAATATACTATTCAAAAAAAGTAGGGGATATTTGATTTTTAAGTGTTATTAAAGTCACCTAATGAAACTGACGAAGAAACAAATGACAAAATGAAATGAAGTTCACATTCATCGATTTATTCCAAATGATCGTTAGACTTAGTAAGGCACAGACTGACCATTATAAGGGTAAAATGATACCCGGGGTCAAACAGCAAAGTTACCACAGCATCACAACCAAGTCAGTAACGGGTAAATCCTCCTCTGTTTGCCAAACAAGCATTGATCCGACGTGGCATACTCCTAATGAGACGTCTAAGGTCATTTTGGTCCAGATTGTCCCATTCCTGTTGCAACGCAGCAGCAAGTTCTTGGACATTGGCAGGACGTTGTTGACGTTGACGTAACCTCTGTCCAAGCATGTCCCAGACATGCTCGATGGGGGAGAGGTCGGGACTCAGTGCTGGCCAAGGTAATGTGGTGATGTTCTGTTGTTGGAGGTAACCTGTAACGATCCTGGCCCTGTGACATCTTGCGTTGTCATCCTGGAAGATGAAACGGCGGCCATGACGTCGTGCCAACGGCACAACATGGACTGCCAAGATGTTGTCCCGGTAGTACTGGCCTGTAACACGCCCTGCAACAACATGTAAAGCCGTTCTTCCAGCAACAGTGATGCCTCCCCACACCATAACAGAACCACCCCCAAATCGATCATGTCTGATGACGTTAACGTCTTGGAAGCGCTCGTTTCGACGACGCCACACCCTCCTACGTCTGTCCAAAAAATCAACAGTGAACCTTGACTCATCTGAAAACATCACATTGCTCCAGCGTCGATTATCCCAGTGTTGACGATCCCTACACCAACGACGTCTTGTCTGAATGTGATGATCTCTCAAACAAGAGATCATGCGAGGACGTCGGGCGCGAAGGTGACCCCTATGCAGTCGATTCCGAATCGTCTGGCCACTCACTCTCACACCAGTGTCTGTTTGAAGACGAGCGCTGATCTGATTTGCTGTGATGACACGATTTCTCAAGGCCAAGGTACGGATAAATCGATCCTGGGCTTGAGTTGTCGCCCTTGGTCGACCTGAGCGTGGTCTGTCCTGTACAGATTGTGTATCACGGTATCTGGACCATAGCCTGCTTATGACAGACTGAGAAACATTCATCGTCCGCGCCACAACCGCCTGTGTTGTGCCGATCTGTAGCATGCCAAGGGCACGTAACCTTTCATTTTGGGTAAGCCGACGCATATCAAAATTTGTTTTCTGGTCACTAAAACAATTAAACTGATGTTTCCACCCTGGAATTCAATGCCACAATGACTGTAACATTCAAAGTCAGAGTCGTGCAAATCTTGGGTTGGACCCCCATGATGATCCCAAGCATCACCTGCAGTCCATGCGGTAGCTATTGGTGCGTTTGGGCGTCACATGTAACTGGAAATGTTTCTTCTGTTAGGTTCTATAGTGACTTTTTTCGTAGTCATTTGCATATTTTAGTATTATGCCCCCAAAATCAAATATCCCCTACTTTTTTTGAATAGTATATAATTGATGTGTATTGATATATTACATATCAAGAAAACTAAAGGAGTTTTACTCATATATTGTAATAATAAATCTTTATTTATAGACTCAGATGGGGAAAGTGGAGATGAAAATGAATCAGGGGATCAGATGGGATTAATGGCTGAAGATTTGATGAATTCTTTAATAGAATTATTGGTTGATGTTCCAGTTTTGTAAGTAATATTTTATAGAATATGAAACATTATTAAACACCTCTCGTCATTGAATTTTAAAGTTTGATTTATAATGATATTTGAATAGTCAATGTGTTTTTTATTTTAGGAATTTTACCTATGCTCTTCATCTTGAATCATTGAATACGCTACTGGTATTATTATCTATACAGATGTTTCAAACACAAGCTACCAGTAATTTTGTTTTATATCGATTTATGATGCAAGGAAAATGGTAGGTTAATTATATTATAACTTTATTTTATGTTTATCATCTGATGGCCGATACAACTTTTCTTGGCTATGCACATACTTCTGGAAAAACTGCTACTAATTTATTTGGTCGACGTTTCGAAGAGTATTCTCTCAAAGGCATCAAGCTAATGTTAGGATTGTTCATTTGGGCCAGCGAACCCCATTGAACATTTCATAAATTTGAATGGACACCAAGGGATAACTTACCCATCTTTAATTTAGAAAAGCTCTACATTTCTATAGAGGACTTCCTTATGATCCGATAAACAAATCGTAAAGAATTCTGACCTTTAGAGTGCTAAAAACACATTGTGATCAGATGGCAGATGAATGTAACGACAATATATTAATCAACCAATCTGGGACTTACTGTATTCCAAATATATTTCAGTATATTTTCAGAAATACCAGATATATTTCAATATATTTTCAGAAATAGCAAATACCTGAGAGATGATAAATTTTGTTTTTTCAGTGCAATCCATGCCCCTTTGTTATTAAAAGCCTTACTATGGAACTATATAAATCAAGAAAAATGTCCAGCTGAATTATATAAAGGATCTGAAGAAGGAGGCAGTTTAATTGTCCATTTGACAAATTCTGTAGCTTGTAAGTTAATTTATCAATTTCTCTAGGTCTCATTGATTATTTTTAGTATCAACCAGTTTTAGTATCAAATTTGATGTGAGCATTCATTGTAGGCAAAAGCCATTTTGTTGTGACGGCCACATGTTGCCATTATGTATGGCCTGATACACGTACCTAGGTGACTGGCTGTTTGTGCTTTCCTTTTGACAGAAAAACACTGAAAAAGCTTTTAAGATTTTACTGTAAAACATGTAAAACAATTTTGTCATTAGAAATGGCTAGACATAATTGAAGATAAAAGACATCAGTATAGATTTAAATTAATTTGTTTTCTCAGCTAGTCTGTGGTCTGTTGTAACCCTTGGGATGGGACAACAAGAAAAGAAGAAGGAGGATGAATTTACAGAAACATTATTAGCCAATCAGAGTCTTTTATTTATTTTGGTGCTGACAAACCATTGTACAAGTTGTGATAGAGGATTACACAATCCCTATCGTGAAGTTCTTTGTTCGTTTTTGGATTCCGAAGGTATTTTGAATTTTAATAGTAAGCCCTACTATAGAAATAAGTGGGTAAATAATTTAACTGGAATGTGTTTTAAAGATTTGTAGGCTATACATATAAACTAACATGGTGTAAATTTAATTGTTTAATATATTTCCAAGATATTTTGTCAGATAAATAGTTCACTATTTGTAATTGAACAATACATAATTATTAAATTATATTTTAATTTAAAAATGTGCTGAAAAAGTTTATTCTGGTTAAACATCTGCCAAATAACTTAGTAATTGTTTGTCCATAAGTATAAGTTACAGTTAAATGCTCTATCCAATTACTAAAAGATTATTAATTCTATTTATGGTATTCCTTTCTTTATTTCAGATCAATCAGCTACACAGGGTCCAACACATGCTGTAGCAACATTTAAAATTGATTTCTCTAAGTTATATCAGACATTATGTCTTACACTACGTGATGATCAAACCACATTATTACTATATTTATTAATACACCGAAACCCTAGAGTTAAAGATTATCTACTATCTAGAACAAATATAGACCATTTGGTAAGTATATTAGCCTATACATAGTGCCCTGCGAGTTAGATCATAAGGTCTTTCATAGAGTCTGGCGTGCACGTAAATGATCCCTTGGCAGTTGGAATTCGATATAAGAGTAGGCCGTAGGGCGCTGCCCGGGCAAAATTTCCCTCATAGCACACTGTATGGCGTATGCCCGTCTTCATTAGCCCAGTTTAGGAGCAGAACAGTAGGACGTTAAACCCCATTTCATTTAATTTCCCACTTGAAATAAAATTGAACAGTATGTCAGTCCTGAATTGACCTAGTCTGTCGAGTGGACGTTAGACCCTATACGCATTGATGGTAATACTATTATTGCTGTTATGGTCATAGTGTAACATGTCCTTCAAAAAATAGCCTAAAAACTAAAAGGTTATGGAATGAAATGGGATATAAAGTCTTTAAACTCTCTAATTCTTAAACGTCATTTGAAGTTTTCCTTTCGAATATGCTACTGTCTGTAGGTATCCTTGTTTCAAGACATAGCTGCTGTGTTGGTGGATTTTCATGTTTTGCATGGCTATCTTTAAAGAAAACAATCAGATTTTTTTTAAGGATATTCTGAGAACCAGAATATTAAGTTGTGTAGCTTTGTTTCCCTTGTTTTCATAATTTTGTTCAAATTGAAATTGTTATTGATGGTGAGAAATAAAATAAAGCTGATTTATTTGTTTGTGTAGGTAATGCCTTTATTAAAGATCTTATACCAAGCCATGGAACGGAACTCTCATCATATCTATATGGCTCTTATTATACTTCTAATATTGAGTGAAGATGAAGTATTTAATAAAGCCATTCACGAAATAGTAAGTCAGAAGTACTTTTTTTTATGTGCCTGTCTTTTTGTGATAATAAAAAATTATAGAAGTAAGGTAATATAATTTTTATAGCTTATTGCTTTAATCAGTGTCTGGGAATGCTCAATATTCCACATAATTGGGTCAGTTTTTATCCCTGATGGTCCGTTTCTTTTGATATATTGTGTGCTATATTATATTTACCTTGCACTGTGCTAACAGTTCCAATTAAATTTTTCATATATCTTGCCTTGTTTTTTTGTAGACAATAAAGAATGTATTATGGTTTAAAGAACGGCCTTTAACAGAAGTAACATTGGGAGGATTGTTGATATTAGTTTTAATACGAACAATTCAGTTTAATCTGAGTCGCATGAGAGTAAGTACTGTATTACACATTATGACAACAGTTGCTATAATATTCATCTATTTCATAGAGAGGGGTGTGGCTGTCAAACGTTAAGAGGTGTTGCTCCTGGAAACAAGTGATGTACATAATAGTAATCTATTACAGCGGGGATAATGGCAAGCAGGTGCCACTCTCGCTCCAATCTGGATAGGGTTTCATAAATAACAGGACTTTTGGCAAGGGGCCAGAGGCTGCCTAGGTCCTGGAAGCTCCCATTTCTAAACAATTACTGGCTAGTAAAATTACTAGTGTAAACATATGGTATATCGAGGTTGTGAACCTCCTAGAGGTCACAATTTTGATCCGATTTTGATGAACCTTGAAATGCATGTTTATAACCCAAAGATCTTGGTTCCTTTTGATATTCGCGCATATCGGATGGTAACTTCCTGAATTATGGCCCTTGATTGTATCATGTTTTGAGCTTGTTGACAATTTTTATCCGATTTGAAATAAAAAACGTGTTAATATATCACAGTTATACACTAATGATGGTTGAGTTCGAATTTCGTAAAAATAGGGCAAAAACTGACGGACATAATGGCTGCCCCTTGTACGCAAATAGTGTAAAAATATGTTATATCTAGGTTGTGGACCCTCTATAGACCACAGTTTTTATCTGATTAGGATGAAACTTTAAATATATGTTTTTATCATAAAGATCTTGGTTCCTTTTATAATCACACATATCCGAACGTAACTTCCTGGATTATGGCCCCTGATTGGTCGAAAGATCACATTTTTAGCTTGTGGATTCTCTAGAGGCCACAATTTTTTTTCCGATTTTAAAAAATGTTTAGATACATCACTATTCCACCATAATGAAGGTTGAATTGGAATTTCGGGAAAATCGAAATGAAAGTGCCTGACAAAATGGCCACTCTTTGTATAAATACGGTATGTAATACAAAGGTTATGGACCCTCTAGAGGTCAAAATTTTTATCTGATTTTGATGAAACTTAAAACATATCTTTATATTCTAAAAATCTGAGTCCCTTTTGATATCTGCGCATTTCAGACCATACCTTTCTGGATTATGTAATACAAAGGTTATGGACCCTCTAGAGGTCACAATTTTTATCTGATTTTGATAAAACTTAACAAACATATCTTTATATTCCAATAGTCTGAGTCCCTTTTGATATTTGCGCATTTCAGACCATAACTTTCTGGATTATGGCCCCTGATTGTACAAAAAATCGTTTTTGTTTTTAGCTTCTTCTCTATCCATCTCTTGCAAAATGTGGATGTATCCTGCCTGGCAGGCACTGGTTATAAGCCGCATTTGAGTATTTAGTTTCGTATTTAATTGATTTGGCTACACATATGTGGCATTGACAAAATATGTCTTTGTTCAACATTTTTTGACATCAAACATAATTTAACGATGTCGGGAAGGTTAAAGACTCTCAAAGTGATTTAAATGCTTATGAATGATTTCGATTCGGATTATATCGATGACACCAATTCTGAAGATGATATTTCTGATGAAAATGATTTAGAATGATTTGCAAATTATAGATCAACTTATCCCCTTCAACTTTTTTATTGGTGTCAAGAGTCTATCACTTATAATTATCCGGCAATAGTCGATTGAAATAGGCATACAAAATATTTCACTTCAGCCTTTATTTAGACGACCACTTGGCGTCATGACGTCAAAATGACGACGACCAGTTAAGGGTTAATATGTCATGTATTGTGGCAATGATATAATTTTAAAGCTTTATATCTTTGTTCATTTTCAGGATAAATATTTACATACTAATTGTTTGGCAGCTTTGGCAAATATGTCATCTCAGTTTATCAATCTACATCCATTTGTGGCACAGAAAATAGTCAGGTAACTAATAAGTGTGTGTCTTCAGCAATGCAAGGTTGTTAATGTCCATTATATGTCTTTCTTATTCAGAGTAAGTTCCCTTTAATAGAATTTCATTGTCAAATTATAAATATGTTTCTCGTTTAGCATTTTATCACTACAATGTTTCCCTAAATCCAAGTTGAGGAGACCTAATTGACCACCAGAGAGATAAATAGGCCTTTAATCTAACCTTGACCCTTTCATTTTAGTTTGTTTTCTCAACTGTGTAAGAAACAATCTAGATTAATAGATCAAATCAGTGAATTAGCTACAAGTGCAAAACAAATAGAAAATAAGACACAAGAAAATACAGAAGATAAAGAGGATGAGAGTGCTTTATTAGTAAGTCCCACTCTGTAATATAATTACATATAACTCGCCTTATATATATTACGTTTAACTCATCTTATATAATTCTCATATAATTTATTACAAAATTTTATTTTATCTTTCCTATTGGCCGCCAGAAATGTCCTACTTCCATGTCAAGATAAGTTTTGTTGGTCAAATATGTGACTTAATTATGCTTGATAAAAAATATCTTAATTGATTATGTTGGTTTAAGTACACAGGACTAGTGGACTGTGCAAAAAAAAATATAAAAAATGTGAAGGCAACGCACAGGTCACTCGTACAATTATATTGGTCTACCATATTTCGACTTTCAGCGTACCATTGAACAAATGTCTATCATTCATATTGAATGAATATCTTATTATTAATAAATAGGTGTTGTGTTATTGCTTGAAACTTGTTTATGAATATTTTGCCCATTTTATTTGTAGTTACAAGATATGAATGTTTTAGAAGAGGTTATAAGAATGGTGTTAGAGATTATCAACTCTTGTTTAGCTTCATCTTTACATCATAATCCTAATCTAATCTATACCTTACTATATCAACGTGATCAATTCACCTTGTATCGTACACATCCTACATTTCAAGACATCATTCAAAATATTGAAACGGTAAGATTCCTACAAAATTTTAAAATATTTAAAGATGCCTTATGTAAGATGTAGATAAAGAGCTGGATGTTCTTGCTATAATAGATCCAAAATAGAAACTGATAAATGAATATATTGAAAATTTTATTTAAATTACTTTATTTTGAGCAAAGTAATGATTGTTTGAAGATAAAGTGTAGATGTTCATTATCGTAGCAGTGCTTCACATTTACAAAATCAAAAAAAGCGTCTGTCAATTTCAGAAATGAGAAATCAGCTGCCGTATAAAACCTTTCTTAATTATATTGTAAGAGTACTTCTATATTTTTTTAAATTAAAATTGCATTTATGCTTTAATATTTTTTTAATATGTTCTTATGGAAGATACTGTCTATAACGTTGAAGAAAACACTGATTAGCCTATTTTGTATTATATTTTAATTATTTAACTTTATTTCACACTCTGTAAAACCAATTTTACGAACCTATTTCTATCCACCGCTAGTTGCCCTCCAGTATTCCACTTATAATATGTTGCATACATATTCTGACATTCCAGTACTGATAATCAACACAATGACACAAGCGGTACATAAAAACATAGACCATATATATGGTCCATGATAAAAACAACTTAGAGAGTCAGACATTCTATCAGTCTCAGAGTCATTTCAAATCAACATCCGGCAACATACGAAGCTGTCAAGTAACATCATATTCTGTTGGCTGATTAAAGATTTCTATTCAATTAAAACAAGCCAGACATTAGCATTCGATATCAGAATGAAAAAGAGGTTCGATATATTTGGTGAATAATATGGTAGCCTCAAAGTTATCTTAGAAACCCTGATAGCTCGAAGGGGGTCACTGTACATAAACGTATGCAGGTTAAAAGTAAACAAAATCTGAAAGTAGTGTATTAATGTCAACTTTTAGAAGAACGATTTAGCTAATTTGCGAGCATATTTAATGACTCCCGCAAAGGAAAGTTGAGGAGCGCAGGAGAGAAAGCACACCTAAAGCGTGAAGGACTGTCATAGCAATGGTGCTTGAAACCCGAGACTTGGTCTTGATTGTTCATTTTATTGTTGAATATTTAAATATCTGCCATCCGATGGTCTAGAGAATTGATTATAGGCTTGTTATGTTAATAAATATCTAAATTATAATTTGTGTAACATTTAAAGCCAAAAGAAATACCTGCAATAAGCAGATTTAGCTCTTACATAATGCATCTTTAGTTTAAAGGCCGTCTTTGGTTTTTTTATTCTCCCACACTTTAATAATGTGATTGTATATTTCCTTCACCAATTTCTCTTTGTCTGGCAGTTGTTCACATTTCTTGTTGGTACACTAGCAGCTATGCAATAATCTGTGTGTCTTATTTTCCCCACCAACAGGGAACTGTTGACAGCTTTAGAAATTGATATTGGCTGCCTATCACAATGAAATGAAGAAGCCTATTAATTTTCAATGTTTTTTCAATAATTACCTCCATTGTTTGCCCTGTTGTTACTAAATCTTGTTAGAACCTATTGTCCTGAAACTTGTATTGGTTGGCATCATAGAGGCTTCCATTATAATCCAATTTATTTGAAAGTTTTATGTGTTGTTTAACTTGGATGACGCAGCTGCTGGCGAATGTATTTTTCATTGCCAGGTAACCTACGAGTATGTATGTTGTGCACCATTTAAATTATCTGACTCAGATATAATTTTGATAAATGTTTACCATGGTTTAAGATAATTTGAGTACACAAATATGATTCACTTAAACAAAATTCTGTTACACTTTCTTCAGATATTGACATTATATATTTCAGGTACTGAATTACTTCTCAGCTATGTTAGAGAAATCTGGTAGAAGTAACCTTACACCTAATGAAGTACTGGAATATATTAAACAGGGTTCGGTTAAATTTAGACGAGAAAGACTTCAGGTTAGTAATTAACTTTTTTATCAAGTATGACAATGTACAATTGTAACTTCAGAATATCAAATGTCATAACACTGTTTGTCAGCCTCAATAACTGGGGTAGTTCTTGTAGAATCGTGAAGTAATTAAACAAAGCAATTATGTTGACATGGTTGGTCAAGTTATTTTTATACGCCCTCATGGAAATGTGGTCGTATATTACCGTCGACCCCATCCGAATGTACGTACATCCGTCAGCCACATTTTCTTGTGAATACTCTACAGACTACATTTGTCATCTGATTATTTTGAAATTGATATATGTTGTTAACATGAGGGAGATGAAGAAGTCTATTTAATTTCAATAATTTCCGTTAATTTCTTCTGGAGGTGAGGTGTGGCCCTGTTTCACTTTGTTGAACCTTGTGAATGCTTTAACAACAAAAGTTATCATCTGATCTGTATGGAATATATCTGCATCATTTAAATTAGTAAAACATACAATGATATTGAATTTCTGGAGTTATATGGCCCTTGTTTCACTTTGTTGGACCTTGTGAACGCTCTAATGACAAAATTCATCATCCGATCTGTATGAAATTTATACAGATCATTTGAATTACCCCCCGGTAGTGACATGAAGACTCCTATTGAATTTCAGCCATTTCCAATAATTACATCTAGAGTTATCACCCTTGTTTAACTTTGTTGAACCTTGTGAGTTATCATCTGATCTGTACGAAATTTATATGCATCATTTAAATTACTGAAACATAGAATCCTATTGATTTTCAGCAATTTCAAATAATTACTTGTAGAGTTATGGCCCTTGACAAACCTTGTGAACGCTCGAATGATGGAAGTTATCATCCGATCTGTATGAAATTTATAGGCATTATTTAAATTAGTGAAATGAAGGAACCTATTCTGTCAATTACTTCTAAATTTATGGCCCTTGTTTTACTTTGTTTCGAATGACAAAGCTATAATCCGTTCTGTATGAAATTTATATGCATTATTTGAATTAGTAAAACGAAAAAGCCGGTCGAATTTCAAAAATTTCTGTAAATTATTTCCAAAGTTAAGGCCCTTGTTTCAGTTTGTAGAACCTTGTGAACCCTTAAACGACGAAAATTATAATCTGATCTGTATGAAATTGTCTATTAATAAGTGCTTCCAATTATCTACAAAAGAATAAATATGCGATTTAGATGCTGTGGGCATATGTTTCGTTGCCTGGCAACCTAGCTTCTTATTTAGTCAGAGCATCTAGACTTTCGTGGGTATTGCAATGCTAACAGCACATGAGCTATATGTCCTATTCAGCCGTGATTCCAGAGGCTGATAATGTAGTTTGAAAATGATAGAAACTGACATGGTTAAAAAGTTAAACATGCATTATGCACTTCTTTAAGTGGCATTTAGTAATTGAACAGTAACACACTAACACTATTTATGGAATAACAATCACTGGTTTATTAACATGCAACGTTTCGAAGATGATACTCTCATCAGTTGCTTGATAAAGACGAGAGTATCATCGTCGAAACGTTGCATGTTAATAAACCAGTGATTGTTATTCCATAAATAGTGTTAGTGTGATGCATTATGCAAGAGCTATATCTGCCTATTGCAGGTCTTTCTTTAGGCCTGAAATGTTTTCTAAAGTATTAATTAGACATTAATTAACTGATCCAGGCTTAAATCAACTCTCGATGGCATCAGATTTCTCCGATATTAAATAGATTAGAATGGTTCAGCGATACTTAAATTTGATTTAATCAAATATGGAGGACCGAGACTTAGCTTCGATCAACCAGTACGGTGGTTGAAATTATTGCACACGTCTGTCAAACCTTCAGAGGCTAATTTCTTCGCTTGCAATAGAGTAATTTGAATGAAATTTTCAAATTATTCATTTTACATCATCTACTTTCGAACTATTATAGCAAGAATGGCTAGTTCTTTATCTAAATTTTACATAATCTATCTTTAAGTTATGTTTACATATAGAGAATTTTATATTTGTTAAAAGTTTACTTCATGCATTGATGTTTTCTCTGTATTTCAGAAATTTCCAGATCTGAAATTTAAATACGTGGAAGAAGATTCACCAGAAGAATTTTTTATACCATATATCTGGTCATTAGTACATCAATCATCTAATATGTACTTTAATCCTTCTAGAATTATTCTATTCTCAGTTGGTAATTCAGAGGCAGAAGGAACATTAAAATTGGTATAAGTTCTACAGTGTCAGTACTGTAAAGAAGAAGACAGTGCTTATTGATAGACTATTGGTCAGTATAGACCTGGATTGTTCATTCACATTTGTATCAGAGGATACCAAAACTTCATTTGTATATTCATTGCCATTCTGTTTTATATTGGTGTATTTTGTTTACTTCAAATCACCGAGATAAAATCTTTATTTTCAATGCAAGTTTGTCCAATTATGAACTGTGGTTCATAATGTTCTGTGTATATATATATATATCTCATTTACATTTTAAGTTACAAATACTGCGGCGCAAGGAATTTAGTGCGTTATGAAGTTAAAGTAAACAGAAATTGAATGCCATCCACTGTATCCTATTTTCTAACTTAAATTGGAAGGCTTCTTATAAATTGAAAAAGAGGTAATGTTCCAGTTTAAATAAATATCAGATAATTACACCATTAACATCAACCATATTGATTACCCTATCAATTAATCATCATTTTTGTTTTGATGGTGTTTTAATGTTGAACAAGAATGTCAATTGTCTTGTGGAACTAGTTGGCTACCATACCTAAATATTTTGGGCTATTTGAAAAATGTGACACATTAAGTTTTTTGTTTTGCAGTAAATATTTAGATGATAGAACAACTTACATGTATATAGATTAATATTAAACACATTCTCTCTCTTACTTTCAAGATATCATTTTGTTAATATGTACATAGTAATAATTTTATTGTAAACAAATTATTTTTTTATACATAGTCATATGTATGGTTGTGAGATGAATGGCTACTATCTAATGTTGACCTTGTGGTCAAATTACTAATGGTGTAAATCGAAGATGTTGACTATACAGGTCCATTGGGCATGTTCAGGCTAGATCATGTGCAAAACTTGAAAGAAATCGGCACATTTATGGCTTAGATACATGCATTTGAATATAATTTATAAGTAGTAAGCATTTAATAATGGTTTCAAGTTAGCAAATGCTCAAATTGCTATGTTCTAATTTGCCAAGTACTTTAAAATTCAATAATTAGATGAATCTTTTTTTATTTTGAATATATTATTTGAATTAAATGTGTTGGCTTGTTTGAACTGAAAATGCATCTTCAGTAATAAGTTATTAGATCCAAAACTGTCTGAGTACATCAGATAAATGTTTTGGGATTTCACTGCAGGACTTTAACTACTGGTATGTTTATAGTGGGTGTCATTATCAGGAGGTGTCTTATAGTATAGAGAAGAGTGTACGTAGATTAGATCATTGACTAATTAATAAATCCTTCTTTTAATTCGGTTAATATACATAAATTGTTGGGGGATTGGAGATTTGTCCAATTTATTTCTGTTTTATAGTGTAAAATATTACTATACATATTTTGTAAATATATTTTGTTACAAGGTCCACATTGGTGTTTGTGTATGGTTCTTTTTAAAGGCATTTATCTTGTATATATTAAAAATATAAGTAATACATCCAAGATGTATATGTTTGAATACAAATCAAGACTTTTAATTTATATAAATAAATTCTGCATTAAAATTATGTATTAAATTGATAGTTATATCATTAAGGCCATACAAAAAACATATCAAGGATCAATTCTGCCTGGGCTAAATGACTTCTCATAAACATCACATTTCAAGACATTACATTTATTTTATGTTGGTTTTAATAGAAATATTATGATTGTCAATAACATTTATCAAGGTTGCATACTTGATAACTGAGCCTATGATACAATTCAGGTTTCAATCAGAAACGATTTATTGAGTTACTTCTTGTAACCAGAAGAAAATATAAAAGTTTGGTAAATAATGAGACTGCTTTTATTTTATCAAATAAAAATGGTTGTACATCATTTTTTAAGTGACACAGGAGTAGACCTATCTGAGAATATTTAATTTATATGGCCTAATGAAAAAGTCATCAGTTGATAGTTTGGGTTTTAATCATACTGGAACTCGATGGTTTATTGATATTTGAATATTTATTTGTATGACAGTTTGAAAGTGTGTTCATTTTTCAATAATCTGCCTAGAACTAGTAGAACAAACAGTTAAGATTATTGTTTTATTCATTCATACAAAGTTAATTAATTCAGTGTAATTTACTCTCAACATTACTATTATTTAAACTTACCTGTAGTATAATAGTTGAAACTAGAAAGGATGAACATCGTCACCAATTCCTTCCTTACTTTCTTCACACACTATCCAATTCTAGAACTATTTCCCCCAAATCAGTTAGAAAAGAAAAATAATTTTGTTGAAGATATTTTCTATACACATTTAGTATTGTAAATAATGGGTATAACAATATTTATTATATAGTTTTCAATATGATATATTACAGGGTTGTTGCTGTTTGTTAAATATTAATATTGTCAGTTGTTATTACTTTCTAAAAAAAAACAATTTATAATTTGATCTATTTCTGATATATTAAACAGGCATTATGTAAGATTTAAATAAAGAGTTGACCGTTCTTGGAATAATGGTTTAAAAACAGATAATGAAAACTTAATGTATTGAAAATTTCATTCAAATTACTTTACTTTAGTTATGATTGTTTGAAGATGTAGCGAGATTGATTATAATTATTGTAGCTACGGTACATGATAATCAAGGCCAAGTCTCGATTATCCATTTTATCAGTAAATTTTTAATTCATTTAAACCTCTGCCATCCAATGATTTAGCGAGTTGATTATAGGCTTGTCATGTGAATAAATGTCTAAATATTTATTTATAAAACATTTGAAGCCCAAATAAAAACCTGCAATAGGCAGATTGAGCTCTTACATAATGCATCTTTAAGTTTATTATTTATATTTATTCCTGTCAAAGATATAAATACTTGACTTATTTGTTACATGTATTATTGGTCATGCAGAGAAGTGGAATAAAAATTATTTATACGAAAGGCATTTTATTGTGTCTTTTATTGTTATGCATTTTGGTGTGTCCTGGGGCATATTTTATTAACTAGAAAATAGCTGATATTGTGAGTTGCCCCCCTTTTAACAAGCTGTTACAAGCTTCTCATTTCTAGTTCTTAAGGCCATTTTACACAATCCTACTTTTGTTCAAGAACATCATCCAAACTGGGCTAATGAAGACGGGCATATGCCATACAGTGTGCTATGAGGGAAATTTTGTCCGGACAGCAGCACTACGGCCTACTCTTATATCGAATTCCAACTGTCAAGGGATCTTTTACGTGCACGCCAATGTGTACACGGGACCTCAGTTTTTCGTCACATCTGAACAACTAGACAGCTGTCCTTGTCAGGCCCTCCGTCCTGCATCACTGACAAGGCGGAACCATGCCGGAAAGTCTGAATGAACTTTCTCGGCCAATGCAGGGATCGAACACCCGACCTCCAGGTTAGCGAGCCAGTGTCTTACTCACTGTGACCCCCTTTATATATTATAAACATATTGGCAAAAAGACTATCACTGGTCAAGGAATATCATTATCTGGATGTCACTCAAAAAATTATAATTCATGTTGACTTTTCAAGATATGAAAAATGTGTTTTGGCTTGACTTTATATTACTTTCTAGAACAATTTAAACTACTTCTCTTTAGAGGAGTTCACATACCTACGAAACGTTGGTTATATTTTGTATTTATTCAATAATTTAATCCAAAAGTAATAAATGAAGTGGGTACAGTGTATTAACTTGTGTAGATACATACTGTAATAATGTACTTGTATGCCTTCTCTAGGTAACTGCAGTTTCAAATATGCAAACTTTTGAGACATGAAAATCTGGATTCCATTTTGTGACTTTCAAAACACTGAATGAAACATGGTTTAAAGATGATGGTGGAGTGTGGTCCGTTCTCATTATTTTATTACTGCTTTCAGAACTCCAGATCTGTCTATTTGTACTAAAAACATTTTTATGTAATTATTCAAACATACTACTTATATGTATAATAGATAGGTTGCCAGGCAGGTAAAATGTCCGGCAGTGAACAAGAGTTGTCACATGTTTTTACTTTTGTCGGTAATGAAACATTTATAATACACTTAAATCTGATTAAGAGTAACAACTCATTCAGTAGGTAATTATTAGAAAATGATTAGAATTTGTTTGGCCCATGCTAACGTTTAGTATACAAAACATTTAATATCATGGATTTAGCTGTTCAAGTTATCGATATACTTGTTCGTCTCAAGACCTTAATCTCTGTATCAATCTAAAGTCAATCGAAAAAATGATTAAATATAGGCGTAAACACGGTGTATAAATAAATATAAAATCAATCAGATGATAACTATGGTCTCTAAAGCATCCACAAGATTTTTCTTAGTGATCAAGGCCATAACTCTGGCAGTAATGATGGGAAATCGGTGAAAATCAATAGGCTTCTTCATCTCATGACCGTAAACACTGTGTATAAATTTAAAGTCAATCGGATATTAACCGAAGGACAGGGGCGACAACAATATACGACCCCATTTCAAAGAGAAAGATTAAAAGTGGGGACGGGGAGGAGTCAATCATTTCAATCTAACAAACAGAACAGCAGATTTTAATATAATTATCAAGTATGTACAGGTTAAAACAGGTAACCAGTTGTTGAATTGAGTTTAATGAATATATTTCTAAAGTGTTTTTAAAGATCAATTTTAAGATCAGTTAAATTAATAATTTAATAAATTAAATGTCAAAGGGACAGACTTTAAAAGAAAGGTCCTAAGCAATGGCATAACAACATTTGTATAGCCTGCACAAGCTGCTTAGCCAAATTGGAAACCTACATAAAAGCAGGTTGTAGAAATGTAGAAACTGCTGGGGATTTTTTATTGAGAAACAGATGTACATGTTTCTGAAGACTTGTGCTCGTCACATCAGTCCAGTTGATTTCTCTGCTATTTAATAATTTTATTGGAGCATTCACATGGATTCTATCCCTGCATTGGCCGAGAAAGTTCATCCAGATTTTCCGGCATGGTTCCTCTTGTCAGTGATGCAGGATGGAGGGCCTGACAAGGACAGCTGTCTAGTCCTTCGGATGAGATGAAAAACCGAGGTCCCGTGTATACATTAGAATGCACGTAAAAGATCCCTTGGCAGTTGGAATTCGATGTAAGAGTAGGCGATAGTGCCGCTGCCCTGGCAAAATTTCCCTCATAGCACTAGGTGTGGCGTATGCCCGTCTTCATTAGCCCAGCATAGGAGCAGAAAAGTAGGACGTTAAACCCCATTTCATTTCATTTCATTTTCACATGGATTCTGGAAATAAATGCCACTGTCTTGTTCAAAAGAATTCTCTGTAATATCACACCAGTAACATAGTCAGAGGTAAAATTAAGTGCTAAATGTCCCCACCCTACAATGACCAATGAAGTATATTTCAGTTTCTGCATGGTACAGAATTCACATAAGTTTTGCATTTTTGGCAGTTTCTGACATGAGTCATGTGACTGCTGATGATGCGTGTGAACATTGTCTTCGGGAATATGAATAATAGAGGAGCATTGCCCCCCTTGTCCATCAAATTTTTTTTATCAAAAATGCATAATTAGTGACTTATGGATATTTCATTAACGGAAGCATTGACACCCCACCCCACCCAATTAATATATACCGGTATTTAATATTGTGTGCTCCACCCCCTTTTAGAATTCAAATGAATACATATGTATGGTCTGTGGGCTAAGACCAGTACATGCAATATCATGGGCATTAAGACCAATATAAATGAAACAAGCCAACAGTGAGGCTGATGTCCCCCTCCGAAATCCCAAAATAAATAGATGACACATTAATTAATCTTACATTTATTTTTTTCAAAAGTATCGAGCAATCAAACTATACACTAAGTTTCATCACTCTCTATCAGATAGAATCAAGATTATCTTGTCCCAAAGCATCGACAAATGAAATTGGTCAGCTCTGCTTAGCTTCACCTCGAAATGTTAATCATTGAACTCAGTCAAGACATAACCTAATGAACATCAACATGTAGTTTAAACATTCTACCTCAATTAAAAGCAGAGTTGTTATGTTCCAAAGTCTTGACCAATCAAATTGCTTATTGCTCCTTAGTCAAGGTAATGATATAATGAATCTATATTCGGAGTTTCATCGCTCTCACTTCATTATAACCAAAGTTATCGTGCCCCAAAGCATCAACCAATCTGTCTGCTTATCTCTGCTTACCGTACGCAGACAATATTCAACATCGAACTCCATCAAGGCATTCACCTAATGAACGCCTACACCAAGTTTGAACATTCTACCTCAATTAGGAGTTATTGTGTTCCAAAGTCTCGACCAATCTAATTGCTTATCGCTCTGCTTACGCTCAGCAGAAATGTTCATTATCGAACGTAGTCAAGGTATTGATGCAATAAAGCTATACACCAAGTGTCCTCACTCTCACTTAATTAGAACTTAAGTTATCGTGTTCCCAAGCATCAACCAATCAAATTGCTTATCTCTGCTTACCCTAAGCAGAAATTCTCATCTTCGAACTCCATCAAGGCATTCACATAATAGACACCTACGTCAAGTGTGAACATTCTAGCTCAATTAGAATGAGCATGATTTGTTTTCCAAAGTCTCGACCAATCTAATTGCTTATTGCTCTGCTTACCCTGAGCAGAAAATGATCATTATCGAACCTAGTCAAGGTATTGATGTAATGAAACTATACACCTAGTTTCATCACTCTCACTTAATTAGAACTAAAGTTATCATATCCCAAAGCATCAACCAATCAAATTGCTTATCTCTGCTTAGCCTAAGCAGAAAATGCTCATCTTCGAACTCCATAAACACCTACACAAAGTTTGTACATTCTAGCTCAATTAGAAAGAGAGTTATTGTGTCCCAAAAAGTGGGACGGACGGACGGACGGACAGACAGACAGACTAAGCCATTTTAATGGTCCCCCTGGGGACAATAAATTGCACTGCAGCATGTTCCTCTCACAAGCTCCTGGTGCAGAGTGTCTTATTACATTTTGTAATGCTTCAAAAACCAATAATAACAAAGCATCTAGATTTTTAAGATTTTTCCTTTTATTTTTTGTTGTAATTCTGTGGGATTTGCCCATATTGTTTTAATATAAACACTTACATACAGAGTTCTGTACAATACATATTATACATACATTATAATCATATAATATTTCAATTAGTTTGTTGTCCATAGTTTTATATATAATAATATATTCTACACAAAAGAAACATTAACATTAATAAATTATTACAGCACTATCCATTTGTCGTTAAATGTTATTTTTCATTTCATTCATTTTCACTTAAATAAAATTTTATATTGAAATTATTAGATGGGCTAAATTTAATTAAGATAACCAATCAAATGACATTTTAGATATGATAATATGGACAACAAACCAACAGACCAATCATAATACAGTTAAGGGGAAAGCAGTGCCGCTCAATTTTTCTCCGTAAACAATCGGCTAAAATAACATAAACATATGTTCTGTAGATTAAGAAGAATTTAATCTCAACACTATACCTGTCTGTATTTCATTATATACCTGTTTTCATTATTTTAGCTTAACGTTTTGGCAATTCAACACAATTACACTAAAATAACATGTACACCTCGCTTTCTATCCCATTTATAAATAAACATACAAAAACTGACATTAAAATATTAAAGTAATAATGCCATAACAAATAACCAATTATCGTAATAACTGGTTACAATATAAAAATGCCATTTTTTATTATCCTGTTATTAAAACTGATAAATCTCTAAATAACAAAATACCTCGGATAATTTCTAAAGTTTAAAAGATAAAATAGATCTTAAAATCAAATAGAAGCTACTTTAGTCTAGAAAAAACTAAGCTTATAGCTACCCCAAAAGATCTAGCACAATACAAACTTCAGCAATGCTCTAAGACATGATATTTACTAACCATTTTAAATGAAAAAAAAATGTACATGTACAAAGTGTTATCACATTTACTATAAAAAAAAAATCCATACCAACAGGATAATCCATTGATGAATAGCATTTTTAAATTTTTTTAAAAAAAAGTTACTATGATAGTAAAAATCTTATTGAGGTCATAATCTAACATTCAAGGAGTATTTAAAAAATTTCCAAGTGTACATTTTGGTTAAACTAAGTTTTCGATTAGACTGTATCTTTTAAACATTATGTGGCCTCTTTATTTGTGAATTTATTAAAATATACCTTAAAAGAACAATGAACAATTAAAACCTTCAGACTATTCTGTTTTTACTAGAATATTTATTGCACAGTTTTTATGGTATACTATACAAATGAGTTAAAAGTGTATTTATGGTAGTGTATGAATTTATGTGACATTGACAGAACCTACATTAAGGTAGATTGTACACCTTTTTATCCCTGCAGTAGTCAGATAGTTTCCAAATCGGTGAGCAGGACTTAATTTTAGTGACAGGTTGGAGACAAGTTTCTTGGTCTCTACTCGAAAAAATCTAGCAAATCCAGATAGGCTGGACAGGATGACTTACACAGGAATGCTAAAAGGCTAGACTTTTCATTAAAGTTACACATTATTATAACCTTTCATATTAGTTTTTATTACAACTACTGTAAAAAAAATAACTACATGTACCTCCAAAATCATCCTTTAAATTTTTTTTTTTTTTAAATATCTTTAAAGAAATAAAAACTTTGATATGACTACAAAAAAAACTATGACTATTGTACTAGTCATTCAAAGATATAAATTATCAAGCAAGTAGTTAGATCAAGTTTAACATTAAAACTTAAAAGCCATTGTTTCCTTGAAGAGAATTTATTTTATTGAAAAGTAAACTATATTGTTGACTCGGTGGTAACTAAACAACAAAAGAAAAAGTTCATAACAGTCGGCATTAATCAAAGGATTTTGTGTCTACAGATTAGAAAAGTAAAAGATTTTTTAGATAAAGACGAGTATTTAAAGAGGAGAGGGAGGGTTATATTAATCTAGTTCAAAATATCTAAATCTATTGACTATAATCTGTCTGTCTGCCATGATGGATGGTCTATTAACTGAAGCAGAAACCTGCTTTGTGCTGTCCCTGTCTGCCTTACTATAGCAAAGGGTGGTGACCATTGGGATAAAACTACACATTCTTCTAAGCCCACAGGCTAAGCATTTTTACACACTTAAAGGCAATAATAACTAATTATTTGCCACACAAACTTAAAGCTTATTTTATATTTATGAGGTATTATTTAGACATATAAGTATATATATCTGCAACATTTTGATTTTTGTCATGAAAATTTAATTTCTAATATCAATAAGTGTTTATTTTGATGATAATTTTTCAATAAAAAATTATGTAAAAAATATTTCAACAACCATAGAAAAAAAAAACAAAAAAAAAAAACAAACAAACACTATCATACAACAATCGAGATACATCAACACAACATATAGGTTTTTTTAAAAAAAAAAAAACATTACACAAGATTCATCACTTAACATTCATACCGTGACCCCAAATACAAACATATAAAACAATTAACAATACCCGCTATGTCAAATACAGGCAACACTGCTGTCCCCCTTTTGTTAATGCAACATTTACATTGCACATATTTATATAAATTACACAGTAATGTGTCGACATTATGTACACTTAATTCCATATGACAAGATATATACCAGATTATACTGACAAAATGCAAGTGATTCATTTAAAAAATCAGCCACCATTTTATATCATTTTAAAACAAATGGAAATTCCTTGAATTGTATTAATTCAGTAAGAGAGTAAATCATGTAAGAAAAGATCAGCAAAAGTAGGCTACCAGGTAATACTGTTATATTATTTGATATTTCTAAAATGGTGACTGATTCCTAAATTTTACAAATTCAGACAGAAACTTTATGAATAAATCATTTTACAGTATTAAAATGTCTATACTCTTTTGAGAAAAAACTGAGTTTGTAACCTGTTCAATTAATATTTTAAAACTTTAAAAATTATACATACATTATGCAAGAGCTAAATCTGCCTATTGCAGGTCTTTCTTAAGGCCTGAAATGTTATCTAAATTATTAATTAGACATTAATTAACTTATCCAGACCATAATCAACTCTCGATGTCATCGCTAGCCTGCGATATTTACTGGATTAGATCCGATTTGCTGCTCAACTTTCTTTCATGATTAAATCATGAAAGGGATAATCGGGACTATGTTTTTTATCGCACCGACTTTAGTAATGATGATCGAGGCTAGGACGTAAATTCAATCGCTAAATTCTTGGTTCAGAGTGGCTCAATTTGACTGAAATTTTCAGTAAATACCCTTTACATTATCTAGCTTTTAACTATTATAGTTAGAACTGCCAGCTATTTATCTAATCTTCCATAATGTATCTTTAAGTATTTTTATCTATACGTTACGGTATAATTTTATAAATTTGTTGTAAGAACGTTTCGGGTGCTCTATTTAGAAGGAATTTCTGTCTGAATATGTTTGTCAATTTTGTCATCTTTTTTATCCAAGTGTTAAAATCAAGGGAGGTAATTCATGTTGTACTATACTGTAAATAGTGATATATTAATGCATCAAATAAATTGATGGTTTGAAGTTGATGCTGGATTGTTTGCCAGTTGAACTTGTAGCCTATATTACAATTTTTCTTCTTCTATGGAACAAGGCACTTCAAGGTTGATGCGAAGTCTGGATGATTTGTATTCAAATCACCTGCTAACTTCACATCATGGCACCATTTTATATTGTGTCAGCACTAACCAGAAATAAATGTTCACCACTCATCGTGAACTAAGTCGATATACTCTCTATTATAGCACATTTATATTCATTAAATCTATACATCTTCATTTTCATGCTGCATACTGTATTAGGAGCATTTTCGTCAAATTAGCTTTTACATACGTATTAAAACTGATGAATGGCTATCCACTGCCCTGGCCAAAGATTTAAATCCAATGCCCTGAATTGATCAGCAATATACTAACTTTTAACCAGTAAATTAATATAACATTTTAACGTCAGCAATAACTATCACCTATTAATATTCAATAAAATTTCTAACCAGCACGGACATGATGTCACAAACTGTCTTGAATAGCACGGTCCCCAGCCTTTTGCAAAGCTGATACGGATGGAACACGGATCATAGGGTCCATCTAACAATGCTGGATCTCTAGTGTTTTCAAGTAGTTTTGCCAGATCAAAGTCATAAATTTTAATTGAATAACCAGGTAATATTTTTCGCACAACCAACGTCCTTGAATCTGGGTCATCCAGTGTTGGAGAATTCACAAATATTGGAAACTGTGAACGATTATAGGCCCACACACCATCAGTTTCTTTACTTAAAATAATGCCAATACCGATTTTTTCTCTAGTTCGTCTCACAGATTCCAGATTTGCATCGGTTTGTAATATTTCGAGGCTCATTCCGTCCCCACGAGGTAGTAACTGAAACACGTTAATGGTTGGGTTAAAAACAGGATAAAGTCTCCCTACACGCTGTCGAAGTTCCCAATAGGCTATAGAACACCAATGAGGACCTCTAGGAGCTGTACTAGATGTATCTGGAAAAAAAAAACACAAAATCATTAGTTAACAGATTTTAATATTCATTAAGGAATACATTATTACAAAACATTAAAAAATATAAATGGAAAAAGTATGTCGACACTATTATAGTTTTTTATATTTCTCCAATGCCCCATTCAAACCTTCTATGTTTTAGGTAAACAAGAAGGAAGGAATTCCGCTGATCTGATGTGTTACTTTCATCAGTGATTGGGCAAGCTCTACAATACACACTTTAAAGACTAAGCGTTAGTCAATATTTAGTAATTTTTGTTTAATTTTTGATTTAATGAGTTGACAGTGGAATACAAAATCAGTTACATTTATATCCCAACACTAGTTTGATCTAATGTAGAGTGCTTACCCCACAAAACAAATCATCACCTAAGATCCAATAAAATCAACAATTTTATTTTTGAGCCCAATCAAAAGGGTCTAGTCATTGTAAACCTTCTAGAAATGATTGAGGAAATCACTTTACAAAGAATACATAGACCAAACTTTATAAATCAATGTTTCACATTAAATATAACTCATTCTACACTCTGAGACAGTTTCTCAATAATTCTCATTCTTAAATAAGAAAACTTTCGATACCACAAACCAATATTTTAATTTTTTTTCAAAAAAAAAAAAATAGTTGGTTTCTAAATGTATTGTGCAGTAAAAATACATGTACCTATTGCTTACAATAACTAAGGAAACTCAGAACTAACCTATTTTCAAGGTATCTATCAAGCTTATCTTTTTTCTTTTATTTCTAATTTCACATTATTTTTTTATCATACTTTATATTTTTATGAATTTTTACCCTTTAGTAATGCACATGGAAATACTGGAATTGATTTTGATGGGAAGGCAGACATTTTACCTACTGTATTAGCATCAAACTACATCTTCCACATTCTACCATTATTTATAATTTACGCTATGTTTTATCTTGTTTTCTCTACAAAACGAATCAATATGAAAGCAAGTCTCCATTTAATAGTCTAGTATGTGCCAGGCTATCTGTCTGTACAGAGAATTCTATCGCCATCAAGCTATTCCAGTAAGGGGAGTTTTAAATGTTAAAGATATAAGTTCCCACAAACAAACAATGTTGTACAAAAACATAATCAAGCCCTGAGTCATGCGGATGGTGTTTAAAACAATTACAATATCGTGTATTTATCAGTACAAGACCACTTGAAACTAGTGATATTTTCAGCCAGCCAGTCTTATGTAGTGTATGTTTGGGACGACAGGAGAATGCCAGTGAACATAACTGGTATAGGGGCTAGTGGAGTAGAGGGCATATTAGAATTGACAAGCAGAGATATATAACTGTTGTAGCTAGTCTTACTGGCTCCACAACAGAAAGCAACAGATAGGCTTAGGCCAATACAATTTACAATATCACTAGTGGGTGGGAGAGAGAGAGAGAAACTTTATATACATGTACAGCTAATATGTTCATGGACTATGGAGCACAGGATAGAATATAAAAATTGTTTTATTAAAGATACATTATGTATAATTTAGATAAAGAGCTGACCATTCTTGCTATAATAGCTCAAAAATAGAGCAAAATGAAAATATTGAAAATTTCATTAAAATAACTTCAATCTGAGCCAAGTTATCACTGTAGATTTGACAAGATGTGTGCATTGCAGTAACAGGGCGCTGGTATATTCAAGACTTAGCCTTGCTTTCCCGTATTTAAATTAAATTTTTAAATCGCGAACCATTCTAATCTAGTTAAAATTTCGACTATCTGATGCCATCAAGAGTTGATTATGGTCTTGTTTTGTTAATAAATGTCTTATTAATAGTTTATATAATATTTCAGGCCAAAAAAAGACCTGCAATAGGCAGATTTAGCTCTTGCATAATGTATGTTTAATTTCCATTTGTTTTAAATAAATGCAAATTCAATATGGCACAGAAATAGGAAAAAGGTGTATTATGGATTTATAAAACATACAAGTCTCAATACAATGGTATGAAATCATGTAGGTGGGACAAGGACATATTTTTAATTATTCAAGATTATAATCTTCTATCGCATACATGTTCATGTTCAACTATCTATTTTGTTGTGCTATTAAAGGAAAATCGCATTCAATGCCCAGACTAACATATCACATCAAACAATATTTCATGATTTAATCTGAAAAAGATTTCAACATAAAAACAACCGATATCATCTTTATTCTCATGCATATCAAAACATAAGTGTGCGGAAACATGTCTATGTATTTGAAAATAAAATCGATGTTTTATTGTTGAACACAGCGTCAGTCTGACTAATTTTGTATATTATCATTACCCGCAAAAAAACACTGCCTTAAGAACCATAGTGATATAACATCATTAAGTATATGAATTTAGTGAGGTTGGGTTTTTTGTGTGTGTCTTGTGGTAATAAGCTATGATGAACTAGGAGTGTATTTGCGGTAGCCTTGCTAGCTATGTAGGTTTGAGATCAGAGCCATACTGCTTATCTCACTTGGCCCATCTTATTGGGAGTCTTGGTGTCTATGTTACATGGTATAAATGGGCTTGTCTATTGTGTGGTATGTTCATATAGACTTTACTTCACCAACCTAATACCTATCTTTAATATACCTACAAATAATACAATTCAGTTAATAACGGCTTTTAAAAAATGCATTTTAAGGGTGTGTATAATATATACAATTCATTGAAGACAGCTTTACTACTTATTCATATCCTTCGACCTTTAGAATGAGGCTTTTAAGAAAAATTTAATATTTTGGTATCAAAATTAAAACCTTATGAATGCAGACATAAAATGTTAATTTTTCATAAAAATTAAAAAAGAAAACACTGATAAAATCCAAGTACTGGTATATCTTGACTTTTTTTCTGGTTTCATAATTTTAAACAAAAACTCCCACCAAGGTAGAATAACACAGGTGTCGAGTAACTTTACATCAACCATCAAGTCATCCATTCTACTGCTGATTTAAATAGCCTAATTACCTATAAGATGAGCTATTCATAAATTCTAGGACAATGACAAGGGTATGGCTGGAGATTTTTTTTTGGTAGAAAGGGGTGACAAGGTTAGTATCTAATGTACAACATAATGGGCCGAGTTAAATACTGGTGGCCTTGTATATATCAGAGGGACTTTTATATAAATGACTGGCTATGTCAAAAAAAGAAGAGGTGACTAGGGATAGTGTAACCATGGTCTTATCAGATAGGAATACCTGTAATTGTTCATGGTCTCCAGTTCTCCGCTCACCTTTACAGGTGGAGTTAAAATCAGTGAAGCTCTGTTAACTGTATTATTACCTCTCTATATCCAAAACAGTTTGCTACCATAATAAACACTTGACATAAATTTGGCAAAACCCTTCTCGCCAAAACTAAAAACATATGTCACGACAAATGCACAATAAGCAACAGAAACTACACACTAGGTGTAATATTTCGAATCGAGTCATAACATATTTGAACAATTAAATACCATCTAAATTAAAGTAGTGATTCCTGCATATAAGTAGTTGGTCGTCTAACCGCCACCATTTTACTGATATACACTTCCCCACCACCTAGTTATAATAAACTACATGTATACACTCACCTATACATATTCAAGTACATTTTAAAAACTTACTTTTTTTTATCTTTAAACTTTTTAAGACTGTCAAAGATAAATTGCCAGAAAACAATACAGAACCATAATTGAAAATTGTCTAAAAACTATATTCTACCATTTTCTTATTAAATCAAGTTCAGCTGTTTAGTTGGTCTGATGGGACGTAAAACCAAGGTCCCGTGTACACATTGCCATGCAGGTAAAAGATCCCTTGACAGTTGGAATTTGATATAAGAGTAGGCCTAGTGCTGCTGTCAGGGCAAAATTTCTCTCATAGCACACTGTATGACGTATGCCCGTCTTCATTAGCCCAGTTCGGAGTAAAACAGTAGGACGTTAAACCCCATTTCATTTCATTCATTTATTTTCAAAAAGTTTATCTTATTAAATCAAGTTCAAAAGCTAAATTAACATATATTATGCAAGAGCTAAATCTGCCCATTGCAGGTCTTTCTTTAGGCCTGAAATTTTTTCTAAATTATTAATTAGACATTAGTTAACTTATCCAGGGCATAATCAACTCTCGATGGCATCAGATTTCTCCGATATTAAACAGATTAGAACAGTTCAGACATATTTTGATTCAAGCTAAAAATGGAGGAGTGAGACTTAGCTTTGAACAACCAGTATGGTGGTTGAAATTATTGCACACGTCTTGTCAAACCTTCAAAGGCTAATATCTTCGCTCGCAATACAGTGATTTGAATGAAATTTTTAAATTACATATATTCATTTTACATTATCTATTTTCAAACTATTATAGCAAGAATGGCTAGCTCTTTATCTAAATCTCACATAACGTATCTTTAAACACCTCTTTTATATGTGCTTTCCACAATATTTTACAAGAACATAACGACGACGTTGACTTAAAATAATTCATAAATAATTTCTGAAACACCCGAGACTTTCATCCCATTTCCTTCTCTCAATGTAGGTGTATTAAAAAAGAATGATGTACATTGTATACATTTTGCAGAAGTGTTTCCGATCACATATAAAATCAATATCTATGATCTTAAATCCAACAAAAATAACAGTAAACTTTTAATCGGTAATTTCCCAGTATTATTAAATTCCATAACCTCAACATCAATAGATGAAGACTATAATCTAATAGAGATGATATATAATGGAGGATATAATTACCCCTAGTTAAATTTACCTTTTGTGTTTTTCATCAGAAAAAAAACCATCCCAGTTAACAAGAGGTAAATGAGCCAAGTCTATAAATATGAATTATGACAAGAGAGATGATAAGAAAAGTAATTTACTTGTAGGCAAGCAGGTAAATCTACAATGTCTTTTGCTTCCAATCTGGCTGGTGCCAATCACTTAGAGGTCTAGACAAAATTATTATGATATATGTAACCAGATTTGATA